AAGAAAATGGGGGTTTACTAAGTCTTGATGTTTTAATATTGAAGAATCAATAAACTTACTTTTTCACGAAATATTCTATACAACCCATTAAAAAAATATTTAAATACTATTTTAGTAGGAAATTTTGATTTTTTTCATTTTAATAATTGGAGTTTCACCTTTTTGTTAATCTTTGTACTTTACTTTTTTTAACAGGTTAATCTTTTGTACTTTCAAATATTCATTTTGATCGTATATTATAAAAAGTTACCATTTTAGTCTCTTCAATTATATTTTTATCTCATTTATTTCTATCATAATTTTAACATGACACTTCAATTACTAAATTTTCTGAAAATATATAGTCATAAATTTGTATTAAAAAATTTTCGTTGGGTATATAATTCGTGTTAATTAATTTTTGTAAATAGAGATTAAATTGGTCATATATATGTATCACTTTCGAAAGGACCTTACTAATTTCAACTCCCCAAATGTCTCAATGTGACATATTTTTTCTATCAAATTTTCTCCGAACAAAATGACAATTGGCGGTGTTTTAGGTATGATTTTGTTGGCATTTTGATTTACTTTTCAAGTGGGGTTAGGTTTTGGCAGCTTCCAACATGGTATAATTTCTTCATTATGCTTTTTCCTAACACTACTTTGAAATAGTCTCAACCCTAATCTCAAATAAATGTAATAAACTCTTTTTTTTTATTTTTTATCATAGTTAAAATTAAACAAAATTTTAATGGTTCAAATATTATTTTGGTTCATGTATTTTTAGAACCTACATCTTGATACATATAATTTTAATCAAGTTTCTACTTTCAAAATATTTAATTTGATTCTTGCCGTTTTTAAAAAGTGACAATTTTGGTCTCAAGTGTGACATTTGACTAACTAAATTTCTTAAAATGTAGCTTTCTATATAGTTTGTATAAAAATTTGTGTTAAAACTTTGTAAATATTGATTAAAATAATCACTTTTTAAAGACAAAAAGTCTAAAACATACGTTTTGAAAATAATTAAATGAATAGAAGTTGAAAATATATCGACAAAAATATTATTTAAATCGGTGTAAAATGACAGGTTGTTTTTGAGTTTTGGCTAGGAATACTAATAAATGTTTTCAGAACGGAAGAAAGATTTGCATTACAAGAAAGTGAAGTTAATTTTAACCAGAAAAAAATGGAATTGTTTTTTTTTTCCAAAACATTTATTAAAATTGTAGAACCAAAAAATTTGGGCCAATCATAAACGGCCACATCATTATCTATTTTATTTAGGGATTAATTATATATTAACCATATATTAAAATTAAAGATAATTTGACAATTAAAATATGTAATTGGATCATATAAGTATTGGACTTGGCCCAAAACCCAATTTACCATAAAGTGGATTAATATTTAAATTTAAATAAATCCATTTAAAAGAATTGGGTTTGGCCCAAAATTACCCAAGCCCAATGGCCCACCAAAACCCATAGAAACCTCTATAAATAGAAGGGACCTCATTCATTTTGGTGGTTGAGAATTTCAAAATTGAGAGAATTCACGTCAATCTTCACATCAAGTTCGAGAGAAAGAATCAGAGGATAAAGATTAGAGATTGAATCCACTATACAACATATACTACAAATATAAAAGTTCAACTCCACGAAATATAATTTCTCCGAAAATTTCGTGTGAACGAAAATATTTACATTTATATATTACTACTGTCCTGTTTCTCATGATGAACAAGTGAATTTACAAAATTTAATATATACCATGCTACTTTAACTGCTTTTTAACATTGGTTTCATTTTTTTTTTTTTCGTTTTTCATTTTACCCTTTAGATATAATTTTTCATTGTTTCCACAATGATATTTGTCAACATATTAAACATTTTAAACTTTATTAGTATGGAAGATATGGAAGATAGAGGTGTGAATTAACAATTTAGTCTATTTTATATTTGTTTAAATGGGGCTAAATATGTTTATACATACCATAAATAAGTTTGATGATTTATGTTGATTTTTATTTAAATGATTTTATGTGACGTTGATATAAATATGGATGAAATGTCAACGTTAATGTATATTTCTAGAAATATTATAAAAATTCATGAAAAATATTTAAATTAACAAATAAGTATTTTGATATTTATTATAAGTAAAAAGATATTAATATTAATATTATGTCTATATCAATGATGTTTTGTTGATTATTTTTATATTTTATCAATTTTTTACGATTCTGTAGAAATTTCGATGTTAAAAGATGTTGATGGAAATGTGACGTGTTGACGAAAATTTAAGGAATTAGTACATTAATAGGCTATTTAGACACTATAATTAAATGATATAAAATTTACACTTTTGTGGTGAAACAATTTCATTTAAGATGGTACCCATCACTCAATTTACTGATATATCATTTTGTATCTCACCTCAGCATTAATTAATTTTTAAAATCCAAAAATTGGTTACTTGGATGTTACATTTTAAATCCTTTAAATTTTGTCTAATTAGACTTCTTAAAACTAAAAAAAATACCAAATCTCCAAAATCCTTCAYTATTGAAAAAATTCGAAAACCTCCTTCATTCGACTTTTCTTCTTCCTCTGTTGTTCTGTTTCCGTTCATTCCTTCGTCTCCGGCCACCGTTCTTCTTCGTTGCCGGAATAGTCTGTCTAGCTTCTCTTTCGTCTCCGGTCGCTCGTCCTTTGTTTCCGTCAGTTTATCTCGAGGTTTCTTTTTTGTCACTGGCCGCCCGTCGACCATTCGAGTCTTCCGTTTATCTGACCGGAAGGTTTGTAGGTTATTTGTTTTTTTTGTTAATTGTAGAGGGATATAGTTCTATATACTTTATAGCCAGATATAAGTTATATCTCCATATAAGTGTGTGTTATAATGACTATAATTTATATCACCATTGTTAAGTGTACATTGCTTAAATTTATAGTCGGATATAGTTTATATTTCCATATAAATGAAAAGGAGCCGGATATATATATATATATATATATATATATATATAAATGTATGTTATAATGACTATATTATTGAAATTTGGTAAAAAATTGTAATATGAAATGAAAAAATATTTTGTAATAAATTTCATTATTCAGTAAAATATATTAAGGAGTAAATTTGAGAATTATGAAAATAATTGAATATTTTGTAATAAATTTCATTATTTAGTAGAATATATTAAGGAGTAAATTTGAGAATTATGAAAATAATTGAATATTTTGTAATAAATTTTATTATTTAGTAGAATATATATTCTTTAGTAGAATATGTTAAGAACGTAAATTGGACTTAGGTCTCACAATAATATAATAATTTAAAATATTAATCTTCTGCATTTAAATAAAATATTAATTATAATAAATATAAATGTGATAAGTAAGGACAAATTTGATATTTAAAAAAATTTTAAATCCAAAAATCTAACATGATAAAATTTATAAACATTATACATATGCGAAAATAAATTTTCGAAATAGTTCTTGAAAACATTGTCCCAAAATTTAATGCACTCACCGAAATCTGGAGAAGAAAAAGCTGCCAAGCCCATTAAGCCAACAACGTGGATAATTGTCGGCAGAAGCTCATGGTGGGCGCCAGATATGGGCCTTCTGCCAAAACAGCTTCATCCAAAATATAGACTATTTAATATTTATTAATTAAAAGAAAAGGACAAAAATGACATAAATGACCTATTAAAGTGTAAATTTACAAAGTTGAATCACAACCCTACATTGTTAAATTTGTGGACAGATGATTGATTGGTATTCAAATTATTTTAAAAAATAGTTATAATAATAGTTATAGTTAGATAATAATATACTAAAGTAATCTAATATAAAATCATGTTAATTTATTGTCATTTTAACTGTAATTTCATTCATTTCTCAGTAGATTGACAGGTTTATGTCATGGAAGTTACTCTGGTCCTATGAAAATGTATTTTGGTTATTATCCATATTTTGTGTTTGATAGATGGACAACGTAATTGAGAATATGGTACATGAGTATAGCTCAATTGGATAAAACATTACTTACTTCATTAAATGTCAAGTGTTCAAATCTCTATGCCCTTTGTTGAACGTAGAAAAAAAACACACAGGTGTGTATATTAATAAGTTGATATATTTTTATTTTTTTTAATACAACAATATGTGAGAGTGAGAATTCAAATTTACGACATTTGGGTCAATAATAGGTGCCTTAACCAACTAATCTATCTTAACTCATTAACTTACACTTTTTGATTAAGTGGTACTTTAATACGATGTAGTTAAGAGTAAGAAGATAAATTTTTATGAAGTTGCCTAGCTGAAAAAACTAGTAATGAGTCAACGATATTAGGGTATAAAAGAACAGGTAGAGCAAAAATAATAATTTTTTTGAAACAAATTTTACCAATGAAAATGAATATTTAGAAAATTTGAAACAAATAGAATGAACCAAAAAAGAGTTCATGAAACAATATTTAAACATCTTATCACAAATTTAATTAATTTATTTCGGATGTCACATTGCATAGGTGGATAAAGTAGAAAATAACATTAATTAAATAAAAAGGTTAAAAATGGAATTTAGATGGTGGGATTTGAGGCCGGTCTGGCCGAACAACAGCGACATCTCAGCAAAGCTCCGCCACAAACTAAAGTCCTCACGGCGGGGCCTACAACACAAATGCGAAATGAAATGAAACCCAAATGAAATTCAAATTCGGGTCCAACCAATCACGTCCCAGTATTTGATCACAGTGTTCCCAGCCACAACTTCAGATACGTTTTCTCACACGTGTCGCCTCGCTCGCTCGCTCCCGCCCCATTCACAGAACGCACGTGACGTCACGTGCCCCGCTGCTTCAAGTTTCAACCAGACCAAATCCCTCCTCCTCCTTCGCTCTCTCTTCTCTTCAAACCCAACTCCGTCGTCTCTCCAAAGCTCTTTTTTTTCGTCTTTGGTTTCTGGTTTTGTGAATTTCTCGTTTGTGGCTCTGTTTTTTGTTTTTTATTTGTTTGTTTTTCTGGATTCGTGAATTTTGGATGCTATCTGTTGCGGATTTGGGGATTTTCTTTCCGTAACAACTTCTTTCTCGGAAAATTCGGCGATGTGCGGATCAATCTTCAATCAGTTGTTGGATTTGGGTTCTGGATTTGAGATTTTGTCAGGGTTTTTCAGCTATGTTTGATTGGAACGACGAAGAGGTAACCCTCCTTGCTCTTTTTTCTAAGTTTTTTCTTGCATTATCTTCTCGTGCTGGAGCTTCAGTTTTGCTTCAGGAGTGTGAAATGGGGTTGTTTCTGTGGTGTTTTCATGGCGGGGGAATGGAAAAGATTACTGGGTATAGCTTAGAATGTCTGGTGTTTAGTACTACCTTGGCCACGTTTTTGCATTAAGCTACCGAGTCGGTGGCATTTTGGGTACAAGTTATTTCAAGAATGGGACATGAATCTGATGTATCCGGTAGCATTTACTTCCATGAGCTGTTCGATTTCGTGGAAAGCGAAGACTCGGAATTAGTAACTCGTGGAATGAGGAGAGCATTTTGGGAGGAGTTAGGAAGTCTTTTCGGGCTTTGTGGTTGCCGTTGGTGTCTGGAGGGGGAATTTCCCATAGAGAAGTCCATTGGGGTGGTATTGCTAGATTTATGAGGAGTTTTAATAGGTTTATACCCAGTTTCATAAATCCTCCCATGGTGAATGGCAGATTTACTTGGTCCAACCTATCAGAGAAAGTGCTGTGTTGTAGACGGGATACATTCTTGTTCTATACTTAATTTTGCATACGTATCAAGCTCCATAGTTTTCTTGTAGATTGGTAAGTTTCAATTTTATTCGTTTTGAAGGTAATTTTCTGAGTTATAACTTTCCTATGAGACAATGTCTCACAGCTTCTCGAAGGTTGTAGGGACAATGGAATATTTTGGTTGTAAAGGCTTGAAATTACGCTCTTATAAATATTCTATCTGATGGGTTTTTGTGTGTGAGCTTTAACTCCTTTTCTAATTGCTAATGGAAGGTCTAAAGTAATAACGCAGGTTTTAGTTGCAGTTATTATCTTTATGGTGAATACTTTGCCAGTGAGGACAGTTGCTTTGGATTGGTAGCTAATTAAGTTCATTGTTGCACATTTATCTGGTTGGCTGGTAGACCATATAAGCAATCTATGATTTCTTTATTTCTTCTTTCTTCTTTTGAATATAAAAAAATTGTGTTTGATTAGAAGATGCTTGCTGAAATTATCATCGTAATATTTAAGTGCAAAAAAAATCCTTTTAAATTGTGATCTTGAATTTCTATGGTAACATCAGCTAGCAAACATAATATGGGGTGAGGCTGCTGATGGTGATGATCATATTGTGCCTTATCCGGAGGCTAGTGAAAATTATTATGACAAGAAGGAATGGAATCAAGAAACAGTATATACAAAGCTTGTGGAGCCTAAGTCTCTCGGGACTAATGTTGATGATACCCGAGGAAGAAAGCTGGAAAGCAGTCCCCACAACGAAGAAGGAACCTCTGCCTCGAACCTCATCAATGACCCCCCGGGTGACTCATCCTTGTCTACACCTTGCAGAATTGAGCAGGAGTGTAAGGCCACTGAAGTGTCTCATGAATTAACTGAAAATGGCAAATATAATTCACCAAGACATGGTAAATATATTATGTTTTTGATTCTCAGTAAGTTCTACAGATGTGTATGTGTGTGCATGTAAGGTTGACAAGAAATAGTATAAAAATTCATTTGTGTACTTATTTTTTGAATGACATGTATATTGACAGCTGTGACGACCAAAGATGCACAAAATTTTCAAAGTACCGAAGAAGGTAAAGAACAGGCTGATTTTGTTGACTATGGATGGGCTAATATTGGAAGTTTTGATGATCTAGATAGAATTTTCAGGTACATTGGTATTTTATTCTCGTAACTCCTTGATTGAAGATTGTTTAACATCATTGTAAAACCCTTGTTTCGACCGAAGTCAAATGATAAGCATGATGAAGAGGAAACAGAAATGTCTTGTCAACATAAACCTAAAACAACATAGTCATGGAGTGAGCTGCAATGTTTTAAAAGGCTTTTGAGGCTTACGCCTTGAGGCCCGCCTTGAGGCAAGGCTCTAACTTTTAGCTTCAAGTCTTACGCCTTATTTGGACTATAAGAGGCTTACGCCTCGCATAGAAGAGGCTTACGCCTCTTTGAAAATGCACTGAGGCTTAAAGTATACGCCTCGTGTAATGTTACAAGAATACTATTAATTTTTCCAATTCTTAAAACATATCAAGGTTTTTTCTGTATGGAATCCTAAGCAGGAGTTGTAACAATTCAATCTATTACTACTTTTACTACCTATACTTTAAAAATATTGAAGACAACAATTTATAGAATAAGTAAGTTCTATTGGTGATAATAGTAGTGATGTTATGATGTTTTTTTAGAATTTTTTTTGAGTGACAAGTAGCAGGTGGATATTTTGATAATTTTATATAACTATTATGGTTTGGTAATACTTGACCACACAAATTTAGGATTTGTTTAATTCTTTTAATTAAAATTGAGGCTTACGCCTCGCCTTTTCAAGAGAAAAAGCCTCGAGGCCGCCTTTAGCCTTTTAAAACATTGGTGAGCTGATATTTCTTTATATCCTCTTTGGGAGACTGTTGTCATCTTTTCTAGATGAAGGAAAACAGGTTTTCTTAGATTCCCTCCCTATTCTTCATGTCAAGTTGATCCATTCACTCTTAAAAAAGAAAAATGATCTCAATGCATTTTTTTTACAATTGGAAGTCACGTGTGTATTCTACTATTGTTTTAGTGCAATTCAAGTTATTGTAGTAGGTCTTAATCTTTTTAATCCTTTTTAGCTCCTTATATTTTATTCTTTAGTTTCAACCCAGTCATATTTACTGATGGATAACCATTAGATGGTAGTGCATCTTTTTGTTTTTATTTTTTATTTTTTGTTATGTAGAAAGGCAATTTTATTCTTTGGAATGTTCTTGTACCTATTATAATTTTTTCTTTCTAACCAATGATATCCATTGGACTGCATATCCTCACAAGTGGCAATTTTGTAGCAACGATGACCCAATATTTGGCCAAGCAAGTCTCAGTGATGCTGATGAGCTATGGTCTTCTTCTTCAAAAGAAATGCCCAACAGTCCTATAAAACTATTCCCAACATTGGACTCGCAAAATTTGGAGTCAGGAGTTGACACTCAACAAAACAAGACTCCCGAGAATTTGAAACAAAATGAACTATTATCTACTCTTGCCAGTGGAAGGGTCGTTGATGCTGGATCCCTTGGGTTGCAGACTGGAGCTGCAATCTTGACGAATGTAGATGGAGATACAAGTGGAGCTATTGCAAAGGATCGGGTATTACTCATGTTGAACTAGTGATTAATGTAGTCTCCTGTTTCTAGTTTTTGAGAAAACTGAAATTTCTATGTAATTTATTTGGCTTATCCAGACAGATTTGGAGAAAATGGTAAGGCCAGCTGCAGTCACCCTTCACCAAAGAACTGATAATATTGCAACCGCCAATGAGTTTTCAAATAAGGTTCATTTCACATTTGTTTATTAAAGTAACTAGCTGTTTATCCTTTATTTTGGTGTGTCTATATTTAAGCTTTTTACCTGCTGATGAAAATCTAATGCTTCTGATAGAGAGAAATTCTAGATTAGTACATAGGAGAATTGGGCATCCTTCAAAGAGTGACTAAGTTCAAATACTTCAATGGTAATTAATCGTAAAGAACGGTCAGCATTGGTAGGTAGGAAGTCTTCCAAGTTAAGGTTCAATTCCAAATATTTATACAAATTTTAACACCTTTTTTTTTTAATAATTACGATCCATCAAATCTGAAATTGTTCCTCAATGAAAAAATATGTTCCACTTAAAACTCCAGGTAAGTAGCAATTACATTTGGTAGGAAGGTTATTATAACTACAAGTCTACAACTAGTATAGCATTAACTTCAAATTAACTTGATAATACTAAGAGTCTCGTATATCAATGAAAAGTTCGTTTCTTAAAAAAAAAAAATACCAACGGTTGCCAACAGCTAACAGTGTAGGAATAACCAATAGTGGGAACTGACATCTGAGAATACATCACATTCTAATAAGTTGAAAGAGCAATAGGCACTGATTTATGACTGTTAGTTATTTTATGTCCACGCACTTTTTTATATTTACCCAACCGGGACTTGCCACCTCACTCAGTGTGTTGGAGAAAACATTTTGGTTAATGTGTGCTTTCTTATTCATGATGCTATTGTCTGCAGATTACATTTTTGTATCTGGAATGATGGTTTTCACCTGAACTGCACTATTTAAACTTCTGTTTCTCAACCCTGAGAGAAGTAGCCACGTTCTTCCATATGTTCATTCTAATTTATATTATTTTTCCTTGCTTCAGATTGGTAGGCAGAAAAAACTGTTAAAACCTCGTAGAAGGGCTGAGGGGAAAAGTGAGGAGAAGATTTTTCAAGATTTTCGTGGTAACTGGCCTTCATCAACGAACCCAGCTGGTCAGTTCGATAACAATTTAGCTCTACAACTGGGAACATCTTCAGCTTCAATTAACACTGAAAATCGGCAGCTTCAAGGAGTTGAGTCTTTACAATACCAGCGGACTTCCAATCCCTTGATCCACCAGCCGTTTTATGCAATTGCTGCAAATTCATATCCTGCTGTACCTTTGCTATCCCAAATTCAGCCCGGGGATCTCCAGCATCAGCCTCTTCATGGTCCTGATATTTCCCGGGGTGGCGCAAATTGTGTGGACAAGTCAGCTGATGGTTTTGTGAAGTCTCTGACCATGACACCTCAAGAAAAGATTGAAAAACTGAGGAGAAGGCAACAAATGCAGGCAATGCTTGCCATTCAGAAACAGCAACAACAGTTCAATAATCAAGTCTCTACAACTAGTCAATCCATTTCCCGAAAATGTCCCCAAGAAATTCAGTCTCAGCACATTGAGAAGGCTGATCTTGATTCTGAAGAAATATACACTCTTCCCACTCTAGATCCAAAATCGCCTTTAGAGCAAGATGATTCTAATACAGTCTCCACTGCTGTTGATCACCATTCTATGGAAGATGCAATTCTTTGCAGGCTTCAAGAAATTATTTCAAAGGTACACCTGACTTGTGAGTGGATTATTTTCCTCCTATAGTAACCTGACTTTAGTTACAATGCCATAGAAATGTTTTACTACAGCTGGATTTCAAAATCAGACTTTGTATCCGGGACAGCTTGTTTCGGTTGGCTCAAAGTGCGGTGCAAAGAAATTATGCTAATGATACAAGTAGCTCCAACAAAATTACCAGAGATGAGCATGACATTGCTGCAAAGGGAGAAATCAATAGTCATTGTAGGTTAGTGAACACACTTCAACACTCATTCTCTCGCATTAAGTTGTTCAATGATTCTTCCCTTGTCAACAATATTTTTGAGATCCTGCCTCTCATTCTTGTTTGCTCATACGAGTCATGAGTGATGGCATGAACTAGTTTATCAACTATAGATATTTTTGGACCATATTCAAATATCGATTTATCATTTATCATTTTTTTTAAGAAACGGAAACCATATGTTCAAATAGCCAAAGTTGACAAAAGAGGACAACCTAAAGGCAAAGGGTAGAGAAAACCGTCCCCTTAGAGCTATACAATCATAGTTTTCCCATCATTTGCTATCATATGTAAACTGTAATTACAAAAGAATTTCTTGTGATTTGTAGCCCACCAAGAAACCATATGCTGTAAATTCACACAAAAGGAATCCACCAAGGATAATTTATCCTCAAAAGTCTACTATTTCCTTCTTTCCAAAGGATATATAGTTTCCTATTTTAATCTTATTACTAGGTTTTTACCTAATTTTAGACTTTCAAATTTGTCTATTTAATGCATGCTTCTTGTTTTTCCTTGAAAATATAATCCAGTACTTCCCTCACCTTGTCTCCGCAATCCTTCAAATTTATATTGATCTTCTGTTTTCTTGCATCAAATAGCTGCCAAAAACATAGATTGATCCATAATCTCATTTTTATGAGCATTTTCCCCTTAGCCTATTAAGCTTTGAACCACTTTGAACCACGGAAACACTCCATCTAATCAGACACGTCATGGCCCTGTTATTGAGATGTTTGATTTTTTTTATCTTTTTTTATTTAGGCCATGTTGAGGCCATGAGAGGGACATTTTAAGGACACATTAGGACGTGGGGAGACATGGTTTGCTAAGAAAATGAAAGACGATGGCTGATGGGCACCTAGACATGTTTTCATTGGCTAATATTGTTTTCTAATATCAGAAAAAGGAGAGTTTTAAATTACAACGTTTGTACAACACGGTTTTCTTTGGAATAAAGAGTACTGGTTCTGCATAGACCCTACTTAGTCACTTAAGATACACAGCATTGGAGCTCGTGAAGACAAAATAAGAGTCGGGCCGATGTAAGGCAAGAAGATTCATCTGGCATTTTGAAAGAAACTTCACATCATTAGAACTAGTTGAATATGGCCCTGTGGTTGCACCCTAAGAACTGATTTTGTTAGTTTTTCAACAAATGGTATAAACTGAATACAACATATTTCATACAAGTGTTACAATTGATTTTCAGAGTGGTTTTGAAGAATTCTCTTGGAATCTCTAAACTTCTGTGATGTCACATTCTTTTGTATGGTCTTCCAGAGTTGCTGGAGTGCCGGATGCTGAAACAGAGACCAACCCCATTGATAGAACTGTGGCTCGTCTGCTCTTCCATAGGCCCTTTGAGTTGTCACAAAACTATCCCGACGCACCCGAATCCCCTGTTGCCACCAAGCTTTCTTATGAGCAGAATGCAGGTTTGAAGACCTTGCCAATGGAACTTTTACCTGACAGTGCGTTGTTGGGCAAACGTCGTATTTCCCAGGACGGGTCTAAAAACTCTTGGATGTCGGCAGAGATGCAGCAGATTAAAACTAGTCCTTGCATGGACACTTCAGATAACACGTCAAATACGGGACTGGTAGATGATGCAGTTCTGGAGTATGAAGCCGCCTCCCAGTGAGGAAATATGCACGTCGGTAATATCATACGGTAATTCATTCATTTATCTCTTCCATGCTCAGTTGTTCGCTTCTCATGCTTGACTATATGGATTTATAAATACTACAAGATCTTTCTTTTCGTTGATCTGCCTACTAGATCATACAAACCGATGTCGTGGGGAGCTTCAAAACATCGACCAAGTCATGGATCTTGAAGTATCAAAGCCTCAGAATGTATGTGTCGAAGTATTGAAATCTCGGAACATACATGTGTATGTGTATTCAGAAAAAATAAACTCGGAACAACGATTTGGAGACCGATTTGTCTGTACCATAACATACACCAGCAAGGACTGGATTGTGTTATTAATGTGATGCTATGTTTGTAGTGCTGTGAGCGTTTGGATGTGTTACTTCAGTCAGTCATGGAAGATTGAAACTTGACATTAGATCCTATTATTCATCACTGCAAACCACTGCAAACCACTGGAGTTTCCACAAAGAGGATGGTTCGAGTCTGGTAAAAAGTGGCTCAAATTGTTAGTACATTATTTTATTTCAGTAAAGGGGAATCGTGGGAGTTCGAATTCATAACCTTTAATTATCACTGAGCTAAGCTGATCTTGGTCATTGTTAATTAAATTTATGTTCAGAACTAAAAAAATAATCAAAACAGGAACTTTGTTGTCAGGATTTTTCTCTTTTTCAGTTCCTATCCATCTACGTAGGTTTTATGAATCCATACGACTTTTGTTCTTCCATGAGTCTATTCGTAGGAAAGCCGTGAAATGTCATTCACGAAGTTAGAAAGAAAGGAATAAAAAAGACTATGCGTTCTTTCACGAATAAAAAAGACTTTATGGCCTCCTCATTTTGAGACATTATTTTTTTGTGATTGATCCCAGTAACAAAGAAGGAATCCGTAAAAACTTGGAATCCAGAATTAATTTTCTAACCAGACACTCACAAATATAAAAACAACAAGGTGCTCAAACTAATAACCCTAGCTATTTCTACATTTTAAAATTCATATATCTGCAAATACCAGTACCAATGGGCTACAATTTTGGGCCTTTACAACAGAACTGGGCCGGCCCAAAGTGATAAATTGGGCAGATTATTCATTCGGAAAGTTTGAGGCCCAGAGGAATTCCGAAGCAAACGACCACGACGGGGAGCTATGATGTCGTCATCTGTTGAGTGAGTTCCGAGCTTCGTGTTGTGTTTGGGTATGGCCGTCAAAATCTGAAGGCCGATATGAGCCGAGTGGTGAAGAACCAGAACCAGAACCAGAGCCCGAGGCCCTAATTTCTACCGTTGGGTCGCCGGAGATGGAGACGCCGCCTGAACAAGTTTCAGTGCAAGAAATTAAGCAGAGAAAGTGGAAGAGAAAAGGCACTTCATGTTCATCCTCCTCGGCTCGTATAAACAATTTGGACGATGGCTGTCTAATGCATATATTCAGCTTCCTTTCCCCCATACCAGGTACCTTTCAATTTGCTATCTGAAATTCTGTTCCTTCAATTTTTGGTCCTATTCCGTTTTGAGGTTTTTGGTTTCCTGTTCAAGTTGATTCATTTCGCTGAAATTGAAGGACTTATCCGTTCAATTTGCAAAACCGGGAGGTTATCTGGAAGAAATTTTGAAACCTTGGGTGAAAAACCATTCGATTATAGGAGAAATAGATAGAGTGGACTTTTGAAATCTTTTGGATACTGCTGGAATTAGATTACCGGAAGAAGAAGAATTGTAATTTCGTGTTTGACATGAGTCGGGGATTATTGTTTACTTGTTCCTGTTAGAAAACCTATTGGATAAAAAGATGGGATGCTTGGTTTCTTTATGTTGGACCCATTGGAGTCTATAATTGGGCCTTTTTGGTTTTCGTTAGGTGTGGTTTAGGAGAATTTTTGGACTTTGGATATGAAGAGGTTGGATACTTTGTTATACGATGGCTGAATGCTGATGCAGTTGTTGTTGCTGTATTGCCCTACCTTCCATCAGCTGGTGTATTGTGCCTTTGTGGTCGAGTTGCGAACCAATTGGGGGCGAGGGATAAGAAAAATTTGGAAACAAAAGTGAAGATGTTGATGAAGTTTAAGATGAAGCTAAATATAATTCTTACTGAAACTGATGCTCTAGAATGCCATTTTCTTCTCTCTAGTTATTTTGCTTAGTCTAGTGAGAAAATTTTGTATCGTTAGTTTCATCGAGTTGTAGTTAAGTGGATGCGGTCCGCTTATTTCTTTCTAATTTTAATTGGTAGTAAGTTTTGTTGCGCATGTTTTTAGAAAAAGGATTCTCCATGGAGTTTCTGCCTTTCCTGTCACTTTTGCCATTGAGTTTGCAGATCGGTATAACACCGCCCTCGTTTGCCACAGATGGCGTTACTTGGCATGTCATCCTCGGCTGTGGCTGCGGGTAGAACGATCTATTAAAGATTTATCTGAGTCTGGAGTTTTCCCAACTATTGAGGCAGCTGTTGCTGCTGCAAGGTAAGTTTTTTAATGTCCATGTTTTTACTTTTCAAGAGAGGAAATAATAAAAGTAGGTTGCTAATAGAGTCTGAAATTGAATGATTTTGTTCTCCATAGGCCTGGTGACACCATACTAATTGCAACAGGTGGAGTTCATTCTGCCTCTAACATTCAAATAACAAAACCACTTTGCCTGGTATGTTCTTTTTTGTTCCCTTTTTTTTCTGCTTGGTAGTGACATTTTACTCCTCATATATTGTTTAAATGTCATCCATTTTTTTTGTAATGAACCAAACTTTCATTGAGAAAACAAAATATGAAAGAGAACGAAGACAATGGGACATATAAAAGACAACCTAAAGACGGGAATATAAGAGGGGACTCCAATTCAAATTAATATGACCTAAAGAATAAGAACAAAACTCCTTAGTAACCGACGCCCAATCTAGCAAGAAACTACACCATCTCTGGAGATTTCTCCCAATCCCTAAATGTTCTATTGTTCCTTTGCAACCAAAGACTCCAAATCACTGCAAAAAGTTTAAATGTCGTCAAATTGTCAGAAATATCTGTTTGTTTGTGCATAATTTAGGTCTCCTTTCAAAGAATAAGTGCCTTGTTATGTTATAATGTGCTAGGATTGTTTACTGATACCAAACAGTCTCTTTAAAGGTCACTATATAGAGCTAGAAGCTAGTTAGCTGTTTGGGTTCTGGCTATTCAGCTTTAAAGAAACCTTAGCAGAATTTTTTTCTCTTTTCGATTAGAAACCGAATAACTATTTTGTTTTAAATATTGGTGAGACGGTGGCTTCCTTGTCAAGACGTGCCCAGTTTTTGGACTATAAGATCTTTTAACTTCAAAATTTTTAGTACCCTGTATACTTCTTTTGTTCCATTATGTTCCATCATATTAAAGATTTTCACCTGACATTTTTTGCTGAACTTATGAGTTATGACACACGATAACACCTTCATATAGAACCTAAGTCTCACTATTTTCCATCATTTTCTTAACTCAAAGATTGGTGGAGGTGAGCTTCCTGAGGAGACAACGCTTTTCTGCACTCGTGGTTCGGAAAGGTACACGTTCATAACATATAGTGTAATTTGGAATTGTGATCCTAGAGGTGTTGTCTCCATTCTAACATCTTCAAGAGATCATTTATCATCATCCATTTGGACTTGCTATTGTTATTGATGGCTCTCTAATCTAATTCACCATTTACTTCAAGCTGACTTTGCTCGACGAATATATCATGTTATCATTAAAATATAATAATTTAATCTGGTATTTGAACTTTCGAAAGATCTAATTTAGTGTTAAACTTTCAGAAAGTAACCACTTTGATCTTTGTGATTATTTTGCCACCTAATGTACCTATGTGGCTCCTATACATGTTCACATAGCACATTAGTACATATTCTCGAAGCCATTTTCTGCATTCATAAAAAGCAAAAGACTAAAATGATCGACTACGATAGCCGTTTTGAAAGGATAAAAATGGATATTTTGAAAATTCAAAAACCAAATCTTTGAAGTTTGGGAATTAGAAAGGGGCTTAAACTATTTTATTTTAGAATTTGTAGAGGCAACTCATTATGTAATTTCTATTTCTTCTTAACAGTGCTTTGGAGTTCCTGTGTACCAGTAAACTTTCAAATTTAACAGTGAAGGCAGAACTTGGTTGCTGCTTGCTTCACAGGAAGGGAAGATTAATTATAGATGGATGTGTCCTTCAATGTGAGTCAAACCCTTTGGATTACCTATCATGCCCCATTGTTTGTTCAGCGAATCCCGATAAGTTATTGCCTTCCTCGGTGAAGGGTGGCTATACAGATGGCGTTTCTGTTTCGCAAACCCGCATTGAGGGTGGTGCTAAAGCTGTCCTAACAAGCGAGGACCTGGCATTACAGCACGTTCGAGTTATTTATGCTCGAACGGCTCTGTTCTTTTGGTTTGATGTCGAATACAACTTGTAATAGTGCCCTCCTGTAATCTATTAACAATGTGCATCTGTTTCAACTTGTTAATCCTTTAGATCTGTTGTTATATTGGTGATTATTTAACTTGAATGATGCCTCTGTTTAGGCCTTTGTCATAATCTCTTTCGCTTTCTAGAACTTTCGTGATCTCTTTATTTTTAACTGGTAACGATCGGAACTCTATTTTATGTAACCATTTTGAGGCTCTTTCGATGTGTTAACTCTACAAATGTCTTTCCCTTTAACACAAAGAAGAACTACATATAATTTCATGTAACAAGTTTTAAAATCACTTAGAATTTCGTCGATGTCTCGAATATTTCATTTAACGTTTCAGAGATATTTAATTGTGAGATGAAGAATAATAAGATTTTATTTTCAATTATTGACAAGTTTAATCCTTGTCAACTATCACAGTTGAAGAATCATTTTGAGAAGATTACAATGCTTTCCATCTTTTGGGGATTTTTCTTCTCTCTAATGAAATCAATAATTTGAACATTCCAGCATGAATTTGGGAATTAGTTTTACCATTTTGGGTAGGCCTATATAGTACATTATAATTGAATAATGTAACGTGAATTTATTAAAAAAAGATTGTCACTAAAATAAATATATTCATATCAAAATAAACATTGCTTTTAATCAAATATTTTGGACATTAAATATTGTATTAATTGCTCGGACTCTAAATACTTCTAAAGTTAGATATTCGTAATTAGTAAGTTGTGCAAATTTTTATTCATTTTAGTCCTTATACTTTTAAAACGCTTATTTTGATTCTTGTGATTGTAAGAAGGGATTATTTTAGTCTATTTATTTTCATTTTTATTTTATTTCTTTCCGTCAAATCTTAGTATGATATATCACTGATAAATTTTCTTAAAATGTAGCCTTAAAATTATATTAAATGGTCTTTAAAAAAAATTAAATGGTCTATTATGTTAAAATTTTGTAAAAAAAAAAAGAAAACCTAAAAATTGTCACTAAAGTATAGGGAATAACCATATATTTTGAAATGATATGAACTAAAATTAACAAAAATTTAAAAATATAGCGACCAAAATAAACGTTTTCAAACTACACAAATTAAAATAAACCAAACTAAAAATATAGTGATGAAAATACTATTTACACCCCACTAAAAGAATAATATAAAAGTTAGAGCTTTGCTTCTTTTTTTTTTTTTTTTAATCATGAAAGTTAGAGCTTAGTATTAAATAGCTTTGATCCATAGAGTCAATTTTTAGTCAAAAATAAATAAATTGCACATGACCAAGCATTTAATGTTTTCAGTCTTTGGTCTTCTCCTGTGATATTTAATAATTTCAACGACTCTTTTTCTTGATGTTCACACTTCACCTTGAAATTAAAACCATGTAATATACAAAGTGAGCTTGGAGATTTTTTCTCCYAAGTAAAATTATAAATTGATATGGGGAGATTTGTAATTATTATTATATTTTTAATTGATATGGGAAGTTATAATTCACATAAGTAATTGTATTGATGCAGATATATGCCAATTATCGATGAGCTATGCTCATTTTTGGCGTATTGATGCAATGTATTTGTAATTTGATTTGGTTTTAATTATTTTAATGTTTTGGATAATGATTTAAATCCACGAATTTAAATACTAATATTAATATTATTTGTTTATTAAAGTAACCCTTTTTTTCTGAAACAAACTATGAAAATTACAAAAAGGAAATTTTTTTTTTATTAATTTTATCTGCAAAGAGGGAAATATTCTTTAAAGTGTTGTGTAATCCAATTTTTTTTTAATACAATAGGGTGAGATCAAACTAATTCACAATCTCACGGCTAAATTATGCCGCTTTAGCGTTTTTATAAACTAATTAAATTTATGAAATTTGGTTGCATTGTAATATTAATGATTGTTATTTCTCTCTCCACTTCTTGGGTGGAATTTTTATATTGATTTTGATTAGGAATATTGGTGAATAATATTTATATTTATATTAATCATATGCCGATTTGATTTAAAACGAAAAATAATAAATAAAAAATAACATTTCGTTTAAGTTGAATTAAGTAATTTCCCAAATGAATTGTTCAAACTAATTTCAACAGTCTGTTTTTATTTTTTATTAAAGAAACCGTCAGTATTATATATATATATATATATATATTAAAAAGAAGTTGTAGAAAGCTCAACCTAATTATAGAAAGGTTAAACTACATGTTTTTATTTCTTACGGTCAAATAGCACTTGCTTTTTGCAATATATACCATTTCTATATGAAATTTTAATTTTATAATATTAGTATTTTATGCTATATATATATATATACACATATATATACATACTTGTAAGAATATTTTATTTTGATCCATAACTTTTAAAATATTAATTTTAGCTATTGAATTTTTTTAAAAAATAATCATTTTATTATCATTCGTGATCTAATATTCACTCACCTAATACTCGATCAACTAACCAATGTGGTTTTATTATATTTTTATATCAACGAATTAATACGTGTATATTTAAAGTATTTGCCGTCTATTTGTTAAAAACAAAATATAGGTAAAAGACTAAGGATCCATTTGATAACCATTTTAGTTTTTGTTTTTTTGGCTTTCTATTTTGAAAAAACAAAAACATTTGATAACCATTTTTTGTTTTTTGTTTTTATAAAACAGAAAACCAAAATATGTTTGATAACCATTTTTAATTTTTTGTTTTTAAAAAGTTAGAAAATTGAAAATACATATTAGAGAGAGAAAATTTTATGTAGAGTAGAGACGACAATCGTGTGGGTGCAATTGAGGATGCTCTCCCCCATTTCGTGAAAATTTTCAGTCTCCATCTCCAACTCGTTCTTGCGTCCGAGAGATGTTTTCGAGAAAAATTATCGGTTTTATAATTGTTTTTAATTATTTTAGAATTTAAGTATAAAAAAAGTGTAATAAATATATATTAATTATTTAAAAAATGGAATCGGGGACTGGGTCAGGACATGCATTTCCTTTGGGACCTGACCCTACGGAAGATTTTGTCATCCCTTAGAGATGAAAATACAAGTTTAGAGAGATGTAAATAAATTTTTGGAAGATAAATTTTAGAGAGATAAATAAAAAGATTCAGAAAAAAATAGTGGAAGAAAGTTCAAGACAAAAAGAGAAATTTTAGAAAAAATAGTAAAGTCGAAAGGAAAAGAGATGTTAAAGAAAAAAATAAATTATAAAGAAAGAGAAAAATGACAGTGGAAACAAATTTAGAGATAAAAACAAGATTAAAAATATAATTTTAGAGAAAATAAATAAATACAAAGATAAATAAAAATTACCGTGAAAGAAAATTAAACAAGAAAATAAAATATAATTTTCATAGGAAAAAATAGATTACAAAGAGAAAGAAAAATTATATAAAATGAAATTTAGAGAGAAAAAAGTTTTGAAAAATATTAAATGTTTAGAGAGAAAAATGAAACTGGTCTGTTAGAAAAAAAAAACAGAAATTTGGAGAGAAATTTGGAAAGAGACAAATAATAATAAATATTCAAAATATGAAAATTTTAGAGAGAGAAAAATAAAATTTGTAGAGAGAAATTTAGAAAGAAAAAAATTTAGAATGAGAAATAAATTTTTTAAAGATAATATGAAAAAGAAAAAAAAATTGAGTATTAGGAGAAAAAATCAGATTTTGAAAAAAAAAAAACGTTTTTGAAAACTATTTTTTTGTTTTTGAAATTTACATAAAATTTCAAAATGGTTTTTAAAAAACAAAAAACACAAATTTGAATCGGTTATGGTTATTAAACGGATTCCTGAAAGACGGAATATTTTGTATTTTTTAAATTAAGAAAAAATAGAGAAAAAAATCTTACGTATTTTATATATAATTATTGAATTTGTGAAAAATTAAGAGGGGACAATTACGGCTCCTTTTTGGCTCTACCCTTGCAAGTAAAATATAAAATAGAATATAAGTTTAAATTCTAACTCGATCCAATGCGGAGCAGTTATTATTCCAAACATTCATTTTAGTATTTTTATTTTCTATCATAATTTTAATCTGACATTTCACACTCTATATTTATGAAAATGTAACGAGAAATTTTTTTATAAAAAATTTTATTGTGCATAAAATTTTGCAAGTGGATACTAATTAATCACTATTTAATATAACAATGACCAAAACAGACGTTTTGAAAAAATAAAAATTAAAACGAACCAAAATTAATAGCACAACCAAGATTTTAAAAATGTCGACGTCCATGTAAATGTTAAGGTCTCAAATTAATGGAAATATCGATAAAATTTCGATGTCAATTAATATTTATGTAAAAGTTATAGAAATTGAAAATTTGTTATATTAACGAATAAACATTTTTATGTTTCTAAATAAGTTAAAAAAATAATTGATATTAATATTACGTATATATTAGTGACATTTTATTTATATTTTATCAATTTTTTTATACTAAGATGAAAATGTCGATTTACCCTTTATGTCGATGTCAATATTTAGATGAATATTTAGAACTATCAACGCAATTACAGCAAATGAGCTTTAAAGTGCGGTCCAAAATCAATCAAATAAAAAAAATACATAAATAAAATAATATTTAAACCTATAATTTAAATTGCATTTCAAAATAAATGGCGTGTAGATCACGCGCGTAGCTTCACGTGAAGGGACCGGCGGCCTGCAGGTCAACCATAGATAATTCAAGAGGAGCGGAGCCACAGTGTTATATGAGCGCTGCCGCTTTCCCTCTCTTTCGAACATTTATTTATTGAAAATTTTTCCATTTCTTTTCTTTTTCTTTTTTCTGGGTATTTTGATTGGCGAGTGAGAAAAGCAAAATCGCTGAGATTTTTCCTTTTCATTACAAAAAAAGTTTCATTTTTTCGAAATTTCGAGGAGAGCGAAGCCGGCCTGCGCTGAGGGCGAGGGGAGAAGGGTCCGCACGTCTTAATTTTCTCTCTTTTTCCTTTTTGTTCTTTCTCGAGAAAAATCTCTCTCTCTCCGGCTTTAATTTGAATTTTCTCGGCTCCCATACGCGTACTTCTTGACATCTCGCCGTGTTCTATCTCTTTTTTTTGTATGCTGTTTATTTTATTTATTGCCGTATCTCGACCCAAGTCGCCGTCTACCCAGATTTCTTTGGTGGGGTTCTGATTATATTTCGAGGTATTTCATATTTTGTTTGTTCTTCTTTGATTTCTTGTTCTAATGGTGTTCATCAAGGTGTTGTAATTTGGGGTTCTTGTTATTTGGTGTGTTTTTCTTTATGGGTGATTTTTTGTTGTTGTTGAAGCCTTCTTTATCTGGATGTCCCAATCTGCATTCCGTTTGTTGCTAATCTCAATGTGGCTCTGGGTATTTTTTGGTTCTTGGATTAGCTTACTGCATTTATTATTCTATGGGGCCTTGAATTTTCTAGTGAAGTTGCTCGCTAGAGTTCTGGATTTAGAAAGTTTGTGTTGGTATTGGAAACACAAAGTTAGATATGAGTTTCTGCACGGTTTGGTTGTTTGCGTAATGGTATTTAATTAGTTTCCTTTGGGTTTTAGTGCCAATGTATTTGCTATTTTGTCTTCTTCTTACGTTTATACCATCAAAATAAAATGTTCTATTCTCATGATTCTGAACTGTAGGTATTATTTCATGAAATGAAGAATCATCCTTGTCTTAATCTCTTTCCCTTTTGGGTGTTCTGGTCTTGTGTCTAGAAATCTTTTGGATTAGTGGACAAAATATTGAAGAATGACTTGAGATAGCTTTTCTTTTCTTTTCTTTTAGTGAAGCATCTTTGTGACTGACAGTTGAATATATCTTTATTTACTAATTCATTATTGGAGGAAACAAGCTGGTTTAAAACAAAAAAAGATTTAGTGGAGTTTCTTAAAGGCTTTTGGTTTGCCTTTTGCCACCCCTTTTGATTATTTCATTTTGAAATCTTTTAACGAAAGTCATTCTAATTCTTAGCCCCCTTTCTTGATGGAGTGTGCTTCCTGTCATAAACCAGTTTTTGGCTTGTATTAATTGCACATTTGGCTTGAAAAACATAGGAGGATCTTAGAAAAGGCTTTCATTCTTCTTAAACAAAGCGATTCTTTTAGCTATATATGGAAAAAGTACCTGAAGTTTTATAACAAGTTGTTCAAATCTGACGTATCCCTCGATAGAAGTGTATATCTGTGTGTGTGTGTGTGTGTATATATATAAGGGTCTAAGTACTGAAGTTCCCTGGAGCTTTTTAACAAGCTGTCCTACATAATGTGGTGAAAAACACCCTTCTCTGGAAAGATTTGTGGGTTTTGAAAATGTCCCTTGAAAGAAGTGTATATGTTGGGGTCTTAGTACTGAAAGCCCCTTGAGCTTTATCAGAAGCTATCTGAATCTGGTGAAAACACCCTTCTCGAGAATCTGGTTTTTTGTTTTTGACATGTCCCTCGAGAGATGTGTATTTATATGTCAGGGTCTTAGTACTTAATGCACCTGCAGCTTATAACAAGCTGTTCGGATCTGGAGGACTTTTTGATAGCCAATGTTGGTTCTTGTGAAAACACCCTTTTCTAGAAAGATCTTTAGGTTGGCTTGCTCTCTTGAATATCCCAAGAAACTTAGAAATTCTGGCAGGGACGTCCACCATAAGAATCCATGACAGAAAATCAGGGATTTGGAGCATTTGTTCATTCCTCCTCCTTAAGGAAGCTATCCTAAAACGTTCTGCAATTACCTCTTGATCATGTCAAATTATGTTTTCAATACTTTCTGCAAGTTCTTGTTCAGACTGATATGTTGTATAAGTTTGTAGTGTCAGTTATACCGATGGATTCACAGATACTTTTTCCTAACTTGTGTTTATGGATGTAGGTGTCGTATAGATAAAAATGTCATCTGCAAATCCTTATTTTGATGACATTCGGAGCAAACCTGAGGTTATCGATCCTCCCCCAAACGACGACATGATGGATGTAAGTGAAAGTGTGAGTGATCCGTCTCGAAATGGAGGGAAACCTAATGTAGCTGTCTCTAGCAGTGTCCGTGACCTGTTGGAGTGCCCTGTTTGCTTAAATGCTATGTACCCTCCCATTCATCAGGTCTGTTGTCATCTTTTTAAGACTTTTTTTCCTTGATGAAATAGTTTAGGAGAGGCCTTGGGGAAGAACGAGGTGTGCTTATGCAGGGTGGTGGCGTTGAGGGCAGAGTCGTTGATGGTGAAGGTTTTTGTTGTAGCTTTGGCGGTGGGGGCCGGGGCTGACTTTGATGGAGGACGAATTGCACACTCCTTGATTTTTAGTGTGTTTGAGATGACTTTTGCAAATTTTTTTTTTCTTCTTCTTTCTATAAGCACTCTAGAAAGAATCGCTGATTTAGAGCGTAGTATAGTTTTCTAAGTAATTTTATATGACTAAGTGTCGTGTAATAAGTAAAAAGACATTTAAAAAAAATGGATGGGTTGAGAAACCCTTTTCCAAAATAATACTTCGAGAGATGATTATTTAATAAGTAACTTTGAAGTGATCGACACTTTTGTAGCTTAAGCTCTTGAGAGATAAATAGTGCTTAAACTAAAAGGTATGCCAAACTCAACCTTTGTGTTAGCCTAGAAAATCTTATTATTACTGCCTAAAACTATTCTCATCGAAAAGTTTACTTAAATATTTGTCAACAAACAAAGAGAGTGTAATATGAGAAATCAACCACTTTAATGCTCAAATTAACCCAAACTAAAATAATKGTAAATTTACAAGATAATTTTGATACTGATACCGATACCGAATTAGTAATACAAAATCCTAAATCTCCTCAAAACTCCCAAAGTTTCTTCAAAGATCCTATGATTTATTTCCTTTCATTTCAAAGGACACATTGGATTGCTCTAATCTAATTTTTGTCTACACAATATTGGGCTTACTTTCTGCTGCTTGGCATGGAGTTAGAGAGCTGTTCTCTATTTTTTAACATCAACTGATTGTTCTTCTTGGATTTATGATATTGGGAATACCATTTCTTTCTGCTATATATGACAAATTATTTGGTATCTTATATGCTAATGTCAATGAACTTTCTGCTGTTGCAGTGTTCTAACGGTCACACGTTGTGTTCTGGTTGCAAGCCAAGGGTGCACAACCGGTGTCCGACCTGCAGGCATGAACTCGGGAATATCAGATGTCTTGCATTAGAGAAGGTGGCTGCATCTCTGGAACTTCCATGTAAATATCAATCGTTCGGATGCGTGGGCATATACCCGTACTATAGCAAGCTGAAACACGAATCACAATGTGTGTATCGACCCTATAACTGTCCATATGCGGGGTCGGAATGCACAGTTGTTGGCGACATTCCTTTTCTGGTAACCCACCTCAAGGATGATCACAAAGTTGATATGCACAATGGGAGCACTTTCAATCATCGCTATGTCAAGTCCAATCCACAAGAGGTCGAAAACGCTACCTGGATGCTAACGGTACTATTCTGAACTGATTGGCGGCCTGCCTTATTTTCTCAACGATAGGATAGAAGAGAAGAGGGCTAACAGCAGTTCCATGTAATGTATTTGTTTGTAGGTCTTCAGCTGTTTTGGTCAGTACTTTTGCTTACATTTCGAAGCCTTCCAGCTCGGCATGGCGCCCGTGTACATAGCATTCTTGCGGTTTATGGGTGACGACAATGAGGCGAAGAACTACAGTTACAGTCTCGAGGTTGGAGGAAATGGGAGGAAGATGGTTTGGCAAGGAGTGCCACGGAGTATACGGGACGGTCACCGGAAGGTCCGAGACAGCTTCGACGGTCTTATCATCCAACGGAATATGGCGCTTTTCTTCTCCGGAGGCGATCGGAAGGAGTTGAAACTCAGGGTAACTGGTAGGATTTGGAAGGAGCAGTAGCCATTTTAGCTCCCTTAGAAAGTAAAGTAGCCATTTTAGAGATGATAATACTTATCCAACTCCAATCATGTAATCTAGTTTTTTGGTTCTTTTAGTTTAACATTGAAAGGCAATGTCTCTTTGCTTGTGGGAATCAATCAACCACATGAACTGCAAAACCTGTGCTCTTCTGTTCCAAGAGAAAGCAGTTCTGTTACTATATCTCTTTAGTCATTTTTACTTTTTGCCCCCCAAAAATAGTTGAAATTACGCCATTAGGTCCACCAGTTATGCACTACTTTCAGTGCCATGAAAAATAAAAATTATATATATATATTTTTTAAATTTTAACTGATGGGATTGAAGATTCGAACTTCCAACTAAATTTTGGTAGCAATACCATTTTTCTCTATGATATATAGAATTACATCGATAGTTCTCTTGTACTTTTCAAAAGGGTATTGTGCGTGGAAGTTTGAACTTATAACTTTCGATTGAAAATTAATGTTTTAGTCCGTTGAGTTAAGCTCAATTTACGATTGGTTCTTTTAACTTATTACAAAATTAACAATATCTTTAGAGGAAAAAAGTAACTTAAAATGAAAAACAATTATTTTATTGAAATAAAAAAAAACCTTCAAAAAGTTGTGGCAGACACATGCCTTAGTTGGGTCCTGAAAATCATAAAAATGATAAATGACTTATATTTGTTTATTTTAATAAATCTGTACTATTATCGTTAGGTAAGAGTTTTCTCGGGAATTTTTTGACTTATTCAGTTTGGATTTTTATATTTCCTAAATGTTCTATTTTTGTTCTTAAATTTATTAATAAAATTTTATTTTCATCCATATTAAATTTATATAATGAATTCAATAGAAATTTTATAGGATACAATGTGAACTTGCATTTTAAATCATTCATAGATAATCTTATAATATGAGAAATGATGAAGGATTAATTTAAATAAGAAGTAGTCTTTTTAATTTATTTTATGAGAATCGTTGATGCACAATTTTGGCTGCCATCAAAGGTGGACTACGAGACTACCTAAAAATAGAACATTGCATTGCTCGACCACATACATTCTCAAGTTAAGTTAGAACTTAATTTGAGTTGGTTTGAGTTAAACTTATGTAAGATGCAAGAGATTGCGTACCTATTAGAATGTGAGACTCATTTTCTTCTATACAAGGGGAGTATTTGGGAATCGTGGCCCTGCTACCACGACAAATATTTGTCATTCTATGAATGTTTTGTTGACGATACATCTCCTGGTAGAAAAATTGTTCTTATGTCAAATGTTAATGGATTATTTTTACTAGTTAGAATCTTTCTCGATCAGAGTCAAGCTGGTCAGTCCTGCCTCAGGTACATGGTGTTATCGACATGTTTGAGGCGAGGGATACACATATGTTAACAAGGGAGGGTCATGTGTTTGTATTGGTTTTACCCTAACAAAATAAAATTAGCATTATTTTATCCAGAGGAAAAGAAAAAAAAGAGGGCTTTTTATTTAGTGTAGACTAAAATTGGAGATTATCTTGACTCTAAAAATCCTTTGGAGAGTGGAGGAAGAGGCAGAAAACACGCGATGTGGGTGCGCGTGGTATTGTAGTAATCAGTCAATAAAAAGAAACCGATAAACTAACTTACCAGAAATTGTGTGATCCCCTAAAATTCGAATTTCCCTCCGGACGCCAATCCATTTCCCACTATTCACCGATGGAAAATTGAGCAATTTTTGTGCCCAAATGCTGTTTTTTGTTTGCGATTAATCGACCCATTTCCTCCTTTTCTTCAAATCTTCTGTTTGTTATTCAGTTCTAATTCCCCAATGCAGATTTCTCTTCGTTTGTTTCGTAATCTATGATTTTCCCTTCGTTTTCTGTTCTATTTTTCCCCAATCGAGGCGTATTCGATCCTCCCCTGTTTGTGTTCTCTATATTTTCAAGGACCCATTTTACCTCCATCGCTATTTAGCTTTTTCGTTTTGCCTGATGGGAACAAGACTCGTTGTATTGAGCGCTAACGCGGTTTGTACGTATTTCGCTCCCTTGTTTGTTAATATGCAATGCAGAGAAGAATCTCGGAGATAAATTGTACTTCTCTTGGTAACTTGCTTTTATTCTTTTGCCTTTTCTATTTGAAAATGTTATGGACTCCATATGATCTATTGTTTCGTGGTCTTTTCTGATTAGGGATTAATCTGTCGGGAAATTATTTGGAGAGTAAAGCTTGAGGGTTTGCAGTTTGCTTCTAAATATGAGTTCGAATCCATTTTGGCGCGAGATGTCAATCAAGTTGCACTATGCTGATACAAAGGGTGGTTCAGGTATTCTTTTTTATTCATTATTTTTTGTGTGAATCTGGTTAATTATTTAATTTTGTTGAAATTGAAGTTTTGGCTGCGCAATTGGAACCAAAAAGGCCATTACGTTTAAGGAGTGGATAGTTATGGAAAGTGATATGTCATGATTCTAAAGTTGTAACAATTTTCATAGACACAAAATTTTGTTATTGTTAAATTAACATTGATTTTGAATACTCAAAATTCTGTGTCAAAGTTAATCTAATCATTTAGATTATTTATTTCGTGAAGGCTTGGATTTTATCTTTATTCATGAGATCTACCATGTGGGATATTAATTAAATGCGTGGAAATAAAAAGGAGTCATGCTTAATCTTATCATTCATTCACGAGGCATGTAAATCTAAGTGGTAATATGATACCTAAGTGCTTCGCTCATATAAGAATTGGAATTAGAAGTTTCTGTTTGATATTTGTTAGTAGGAAATTTTGTCGTAAACAGGAGAACTGCTCATTGATTGGAATTTAATTGTCCACAACAACTGTGAAAAGAATATGGTAAGAGGAGATCAAGCATACAATCATTCGGTCATATTGGGGGAAAAAGAAAAAGAACAACTTAATTCCTATCAATGGATGCCATTCTTTATGGCCTTGATGATTGTGTGGGTTTTGAAATCCAAGTTTCAAAAATGTAGTGAATGGTTGATTCATCTTCCCTTTTCAAGGATGGAAGATTGGAACCATCTCTTATACATCCTCCAAACTGTTGTTATTCTTTATAAATTTTCTAGAACATGTACTTGGAAAAAATCCTCTTTTGACCTCCATGTTCTGTTACTCATCATTGATCAGGTACCCAGAAAAGGCTGAAGGATCTCACATCTCAGTCTGCCAATAAGTTCTGCGCAGATTGTGGATCTCCAGATCCGAAATGGGTGTAAGTAATATGTATTTTGTTGGATGGCTTACTCTTTCATTCTGTCCTTCAATTGGTATGTGGTTAATAGAAATGTTCCTGAGCTTATATAATTAAGCTGAAAGTGTAAAATTTGATTTTCTAGTAATTTGACCTGTGATTTTGAGAGGTACCATCCTTCATCAGAAGTTTGAATTCTTAATTTTAAATTATTGAAATATATGCAATGAAGTAATGAAATTCGGTTTTTTCTTTACTCATTCTTTTAGATGCAGAACCAGTCCATTTTTTCCCATGTATTGTTTTCTGATGATTTCTATCTGCTTGTAGGGTAGTGTTTATAAGGCCGACAACATATATCGGCTAGCCAGCTCCTTTTTACTCCTAACTTGCCATATTTCATGCTTTGAAACTTCTTTTTTCTTTTTTCTTTTTTATATTTTATGGGTCTAGGACACTAGGACATCAGAAGAATGAATGGTGTAAGAAGGTTATCTTAGAATCTTTTGTAATCTTCTTTATAGACAACTAGACAGAAACCTAATTGTAGTTGAATTAGTTATCCCAACAGTTTAGGTATAACCGTATAAGTAGCATTTCCTGTAGGTTGAGAGTTCATATACTCACCTCACAATTTTAATGCTATTACTAAAAAAAGAAAAAAAAATCATACATTTTTTTTTTTTAATTATTGGTATTGGTGACTTCATTTTGTTGAAACTACTTGAGTCGTGAGTCTCGATAATTTTTTTTCTTTCTTGGTAGGACGACATCGTCCTCTCTATATCTATAACTTTTCTGTTGCAATCTGACTCGATCATATTTTTATGTCTGCTATTTCTAAATATAAAGGAGTCCTTGATTGTGGGAACAGAAACTGAGATGAAACTAACCTCATTGTTTGTGAAGTTATGAAAGCACCACTGGGGATGTATGTTTTTTATGCAATCATTTGACTAGAATTAAGCGTTAGCTTTTACACAAAATTTCTTGAGATAGTAGTAGAGCTGTTCTGGCTGCAGTGTCAACTAAAAACTTCTTTTAATTTTTCCATCTTCTTAGGCTTTGGATTTCAACCATGTTCACTTGTTGGATGCAGATCTTTGAGTTTTGGGGCATTTATATGCATCAAGTGTTCTGGAGTACACCGAAGCCTTGGAGTGCACATATCTAAGGTGTTTCCAATAGCTTTTAACTTGCTGATACTTAATTTGCATTTGCCATTATCCATGCCAAGACTGTTATTTTGGTCATATGAGATGAACTTGACTTGCAATGGATAAAGTTATTATGATTCTAAAGCCTGCAAGGTTAAGGGTTGTTTATGAACATTGACTTAATAAACCATATGGAGAACTTTTTACACATCCAAAGCACAGAAGCCACAACGTTTTAGAAAATGGATTCCTATCTGTAGTAAAAATCAGGTTGTAGAAGTTAATCATTCTATTCAGTAAATGTGAAGGGTTACCAATATCATTTTGCTTGAAATGAGAACGTTGTGTGATGGTCAGAGACATTAAAGGCATACTTCATGCATGATGTGTATTTTTTTTACCGATTTACCTTCCTTGTGATTTTTGCTCCAGAAGTCATTGGTGAATCAGAATATCATTTTCAGTGTTTATTTTTTTCTTGCCTGATTTTTTAAATTATAAATTTACAATGGATTCTAAAAATATGCCAGGTTCTTTCAGTGAAGTTAGATGATTGGACAGATGAGCAAGTTGATGCTTTGTCGAGTATAGGTGGAAATACTGCCGTAAACAGAAAGTTAGAAGTTTGCATCCCAGATGGTAATAAAAAACCACAACCAGACTCTTCTATAGAGGAGCGCTTTGACTTTATAAGGTAAATATTTTGTGATATTATTGTTGCTTTATAGCAGAAGTGAATATCATCTAACTGATATAATGACATGTCGGATGCACAGGAAAAAATATGAGCTGCTACAGTTCTCAAATCTTGATGACCAGTTTTTCTGTCCTTTTCCACCAGTGCAGAAGAGATCTACATCATTATCGCTTACCTGTTCTACTGATAATGGAAACCAAGAAAAGAGGAATTTTGAGAAACAACCAACAAAAACTCGAATTGGAAATGCAATCCGGAACACCTGGGTAAGAAAGGATTCTGAACATAGGACCTGCAAGAAGGCTCCATTGGTGTTAAGCAGCTCAATGGTAATGATCAGTGAAGTGTTTAATTTGCTGCAGTCTGATATGCTAATAGAATATTCGCCTCTACTCATTTTGTTGTAGCTGTATCGATAGTTTAATTTTCCATATCCTTTCCTTTCCTTTCCCTGTCAAAATTTGATGAAACCAGCCGCAAGTTTATGGAATTTCAAGTTCTGGTATAGCAGAATTCTTCCAAGTTGCGTTTTTCTCACAGAATATATATAAATTTTCTTACTAGAACAGTTCTCTCTTTATTGTGCTCATAATAAAACTTCAGCAAAAGAGGTGGCCCAAGTATATTCCTGATAGTACACAGTGATAGTCTTGCAGTTTGCATGGCCAGACTAATTAGACATCAAATCATCCATTTGAGACAGATATACGTTTTAAAATAGGGCTAATTTATAAGTGAAACAGTCATTTTGATGATACTTCACTCTCATTGCTGTTAACTATGAGGATTTTGTATATTGTCTTGCTTGCGTTCTGTTCACTTGAAGTCTATGTTGTGGAACAGGGAGATTCTTGGAGCATTTTGACACGTGTCTAGTTTAGAATATATACAATTCCTGCCAGTAAAGTAGGGCCAGGGGAAAGAATTCTCACTTGGCTRATCTGGACATTTAAACTTATTTTGCTTCAACTGTACTGTTTGCAGGCAGGTATGATTGAATTTGTTGGTTTAATTAAGGTCAACGTGGTTAGAGGAACCAATTTAGCTATCAGGGATGTCGTGACGAGCGATCCGTATGTAATTCTATCATTGGGTCAACAAGTGAGACTCTCTAGTGGACTTCTTTGATATCGTCATTGCTTATATGGTGGGAAATTACCTGAATTCACCTGTTCTTATATGCTTTGCAGTCAGTTAAGACACGTGTCATAAAGAGCAGTTTAAATCCAGTGTGGAATGAGAGCCTAATGTTGTCAATTCCAGAACACATTCCTCCACTAAAAGTGGTAAGTTGGATGACTGAATTTGTCCAAATTCATATGGAAACTACTGACTAAACCATTTCCATGTTCTGACTGTAAATTTATTTATCGTTAGGGGAGATATGTGCTCCTCCTCTTGTGCAATTATGGTCCAACAAGAAGTTTTTATTCTTCCATTAGTTAGCTTTGGYTCTACTGTTAGTTAGACTTGACTATAAATTAGATTATGTGAGAGGTACAAATTCTCTCTTTCTTTTATTTGATTGATAAGTCTTTACAAAATCAGGACATGGACTTGCTGTTAAACATMCTGAGGTTCTGATTCTGGATTTTCATTCTCTGATATGATAAACCATGGACAGACTAGGCTCATTCAGTAGTTTTTATGCATGCTCATATGCTTCACTTCTTGAAAGCAAAAAGGGACTTAAGATCATGAATATGAGTTAAATATCTTGTTTATTATGAGGTTCGACAATTATGTTCCTTTGCTTGTTTCTCGGATCCTAAAAAAAAGTTCTTTCTGTTGGATAACATTTAGTAGGAGCTGAAAAAAATTTATCTGCAGCTTGTGTACGACAAAGATACGTTTTCAACCGATGACTTCATGGGTGAAGCGGAAATTGATATCAATCCACTGCTCACCGCCGCCCGAGCATGTGAGAGGTCCGTAGTCAAAGAACCAATGCAGCTAGGCAAATGGGTTGCAAGCAAGGATAACACCCTTGCAAAGGATGGCATCATCAGCCTCGTAGATGGGAAGATTCGTCAAGACATCTCATTGAAGCTGGAGAACGTCGAGAGGGGTGTGCTCGAGATGGAACTTGAATGTGTTCCTCTTAGTCAGTAGCTGAACCGTCCCCCCCATTCCAATACCAAATCAACTGAGCCTTTCAAATCACGTATTAGGAAGGAAACCATAGATAGAGTTTCTTTTTAGAGATTACTGCAAATCATTCTCTGGAAATGGAGACAGATTACTCTTAGGAATATCATATCAATGGAAGAAATAGCTGTGTTTGAAGGATCCTGAGGATTCTTGTGTTCACAGTTGCAAGTTTGGCAGAGTTGAAGCATTTTTGAAACAATATCTTTAGCATAAGTAACATTATTGACCCCTTTAATGTTTCTGTAAACTATATGGAGTTGAGGAACATTCTGCAGTTTGTTTATATGATGATGGAGAGGAGAAAGAACTTGGCCTGTATTGTACTTTGGAAAAAAGTGAAATCAATTTGTGAATTCTGAAATGTTTCTGTTTTTCCTTTTTGAAAATCTGATCATTGAAGCTGTGGTGGGATCAGAGTGAAAGAAAGTCATAAGCTAAACTACAATTTGAGTTGATGTTGTTTGGCATTTTGCTGATGGAGCAGACAATTCTTTACCATCAAATTTAAAAATGGTTCGCAAGAAATCTTGTCCGATAATCAGAAAAGGATTATTCTCATTACTGAAGTCTATTCTGATTATCCTCATTACTGAAGTCTATATATAGATAAATATACAAGATATATACTCTAACAAATCTCATTCTTTAGAATGGCTAAAATGGTCTACCTAAACATAAATGGGTAGAATTTAGGTGATCATTGAAAATAAGTCTTAATCACTCAAATTCATTAAGTGTTTGAATCAGTATTTTTTTTAACTGTTTTTTTTATAAAAACATTGATGACAAACACTGAACAAATAAATTTTTTACTACATATTATATGTAAAATGGAGATGTACCGAATGATTTTTTATGAGTCAAATATTAAGATAAGGAAAAAAGGTACAAGATAACCTTTTGTACACTTTTTAAAATAGTTAAAGTATATATCATCAATTAAAAAGTTGAAAATTTGAATCTCCACTTTCAAAACTTAGAAAAACATGGTTAGATTAAAAAAAAAACTACAAATGTTTTTAATTAATTAAAAATTCATAGCCAACCAGAAGAATATAGTTGAACGAGTTAAGACATATATATCCATATAAGATTAAAAGTACTAAAAAAAATTTAATTAGAAATTCATGAGTAATCTTAAAAGCTATAGTGCTTTTTTAATGATGGCTATCTCTTTAATTTGCAAATTTACATAGTAATTTCTTTTTTACCGAATCGACTTATTACTAATAACATAATATAATAATCATAATTGAATAGTTCATTGAGTCAGTAATCTTCTGACAGCTTCAACTTTATCTTTTATGAAATTAATAAATTTATTTTCTACAGCATCCACCTAGAAATAGTTGGTTAGTCATTACAAGAGACATGTCAAGCTCATTCAAATAAACACATTAAATATTTACAATTTTACAATATCAACTCCATCCAGCAAATTAAAAAAATGACAAATTTCTAAAATCTCTTTTTTATTATTATTCTTTTGCTGTTTTAGTATTTATAGGCTTAGCTTTCAAAAACCAAATAGTTATTAAGCTTTCAAATTTCAACTTAAATTTTGAAAACACTTTTAAAACGTAAATAACAAACCAAAGGAACATATTTACAAGTTATCAACGCAACAAAGTGAGGCTTCGTCAACGACTTTCTCTTCACTCTACGCACTTCTAACTCTATAGTTCATGAGCTTGCAATTCACGCTCGAAGAAGCAGGTGTTCATAAATTTGGTTAGAGGACCGCCCATCGTAGGTCAATGATGTTGTCAGTCACCAAGATGCACCTAATTCTTCTGGTATTTCTATTTGTACAAAAAAATTTTTTTTTATCAAACTGGACCGTTTCTTAGTCAAAACCTGAGAGCTTGACAAATTCCTCCCTGATAGAAAGATTCAAAATCCTCATCTCATAAGTCATTAATATAATACTAATCACTGAACCGTTTTTCTTTCGCCAACCTAAACATAACTCAACGATAATTGATATGTACTCCTCCTCTCAAGGTCGGAGGTAAAACAAAAAGTCTTTCTTTCAAACACAACAAAAGTTGATGTTTCATTCAAAAACATCCTAATCCAACAGTGATACCTACAGACTTCATCCACAAGAATTTGGTGCATTTTCTTCATTTCATCAGAAACCTATAGAGTACTTCTCTCTTTCATTTGCTGTTGCATGAAAAGCCAAAACCAAAACCATCAGGCTGCCTACATATTGAACCCATTAGGAAGAAATCCATCCACAGATCCAGTGTTTCACCATTAGCTCTACCTCTGATGCAGAGAATACTGATAATATCATATAACCAACCTGTTTCCGATATCAGGAACTCGGTTTCTGCATTCATGGCAAGCTTCAAACCTTGCTGTTAGTTTCCATCTTCTGAAAACAAAAGTTTCAGATTTCCGTGCTTTAATAGATTAGATTTACATAGCAAGCAACTACAGATTACTTTGATAAAGGACAGGTCGGGCTTCATTTTCTCTGGTTCACAAAAGTAAAGTTTGGGTGAGGGGAAGCCTCTTTCCAACAGTAGATGAGAGAGTATTATAACTAATAGGTCTCTATCTAAATTAAATTAATCATATGGTTTCAACATCTCAGCCAACAACATACTCTTTGCCAATCAGATGTCAACTTTTTCCAGATGACAAGCATGTACAATGGCGTTTTCGTTTCGCCATCTGACATAGCAACTAGTCACCTTTCAAAAAATTAAAATGGGTTTTCTCCTTCATACACAAGGAATCCAGAAAAGAAAAGAAAAAAAAAACTGATCTATTAGAAAGGTCAAGACAGATGAAAATCATAAGAAATGAGACTATATGCATTTGGTCTTGAAAACACGAGTCCGAGTTACCTTGCAAACAAATGAGGGAAGTAAATCTTAGGTTGTGTGAGCAATACTCCAACAAAAAGGAAAGCCATGTGTAAAATATGTAATAAGAGATATGAACTCAGAATAAAATTTAAAGACAGAAATATATATGGGTATGAAACAAACCCTTTTTTTAATAAGAATGCATCAATTGCAACCTCTGCAAATTGGTGTTGGTAAATAGCACTAGATATTTACATTCCCATAGAGGGGGAATCAGCCTCCCCTGTAATAGGTGAAATAAAAAAGGAAACCCCAAAGGAAAAAGGAAAAAACATGACTCGACTTTGCAAGTTGATAACATTCACTATTACCAAAATGCTGTTCATAAAGTACATGAACACCAGTACCCAACTGATGAACACTTGGCTAAACAATAAACCATTAACCAAAGAGTCCAAACTCCAAACTTATGTAGGCACATCCACAAATCAATAATGTGAGGGTTTAGTGATTATTTATCAACAAGAAAGCATCTGAAATACACACCGAAGAACAACGATTCGTTCCTTCCGAGAGACGATTCAGGAGGCGCATTCGGGACATCGAATTAATCCATTCTCATTGCATTCTAAGCACCTCTTCAAGACGTCCTCATCTTCATCATACACCTTCCTGCTCCCGCTGCAATTCATACAAGGAACGAACCTTACATCCCCACAACCCTCACAGACGAACCCGGGTTCGCGAACCGGGAACCCCTCGAGAACCTTGACCAATTCTCCAGCTTCGAAGAGTTGCTTGATCACCTCGGCTCCTCCTACATACTTGCCCCTAATGAACACTTGAGGCAAACTCACCTTCTTCTCGCCCAAAACACTCTGCAACTCTTTCTTGTACGCGGAATCCATTGATATGTCGCGCTCGTCTACCCAAACCCTAAAACCTCGGAATATTATCCTCACGGCATAGCAATCCTCATATGTCCTTCGAATTCCTCGTAAACTGGTTAAATAGACCACAATCCTATCTTCAGTACCCGGCAATCGAATCGAAGGGACCCGGAAATCAGAACCGAACGATTTTGCGGATTTTATCTTGCTTTGAATTTGATGTTGCGATCCCTCGGCAGCATGAGGAGAAGAATTACCGCCCTCAAACAAATTACACAATTGCTTGACCTTCCCTTTAATCGAATTGCTGGCAGATTTCATAGATTCGAGAGGGCTGTAGTACTTCTTCACAGAATCCGTCCGATTGAGGGAGGTCCGAAGGTAGGGTTTCTTGGGCGAATCCATGGAGGAGGGGTGCAAAGTAAGCGAGCGATTGAAGAACGACGACTTGGGCTTGTCGGAAAATTGCATACTTCGATCAAATTCCGCCATCGACGTCGACCCAGATGAAAGAATCGCAATCAAGGGGAAACCCAATAGAAATCAGGGGGAATCAATTCTGAAATCTGAATTCCAATGGAGTGAGAAAGGCAGGAGAGAGAACCAGGCGGCGGGCGGGTGAGGGTGAGGGTTGTTGTTTTGGGCGTTTCAGGTTGGTTTTTTGCGAAAACTGATTCTCCCTGTTTTCTGATTTGGGGGAAAACGGGCGAGTATATGCGAAGCGTAGCTACTAAGCTAAGAATTGAATGTTGTTGGAAAAGCCTTTTCTAGAGAGAGAGAGAGAGAGAGAAATGGGGGGAAAATGGAAATGGAAATGGAAATGGAAATTGAAGAAAAATGAAGGCTTTTTCCTGAACCTTTCGGTGAAATGAAGAGAGAGAGAAGGATGAGGAGGATGACTCGTGTAGCTTTTTGAAAGGGATACGCTGCTGGCGGCATCCTCTGTTTGAATTCTTCTACTTGGCCATGGCTTCTCTCTCTCTCTACCTGGAAATGCCCTGGCTTTTGCCCTAAATTACAAAATTCTATCTCCTCCACCGCCAAATTGTTGACTCTTCTTCCCTTAGCTTTTCATTATTATTTGCCTTAAATACATCCATTTTATTATTCTCTCATCTTTTACATTTTTCTCCCCTTCAATTTTGTTAATGCCAAGGACAATGGTACCTATCTCGCCCCTGTGATATTGTCTATTTTAGATATAATTTTTACGGTTTTATTTCTGATTTCATTCAAAATGTCATATATTAATGCAGGTAATTGTCCAAATCATTATCTTCCCTAACTAATATGCAACTTTGTTCGCATTCTTAATAAGCTATTTTTTTAACTCAACAATATATGAATATGTTATATGTGGGGTGTGGATTTGAATTTATGATGTTGTGGTAGAGGACATATATCTTAATAATAATATTTATTTTTGTTTATTGAATAGTATTCTTCTTGATAGCAGCGTTAAATAGGGGATATTTTTTTTAGAGGGAAATACAAAATAACACCAAAAGGAATATGTAATATATATATATATAGCATTAGGTTCAACATTTTGCCAACGTTACATAAATTACAAATGGTGTGTTTGAGAATGATGGTAGAATGGTTGATTTTGAAAGAAATGATTTAAGTGTAATTGATTTTTCAAAATCACCATCCAAGTGATACCTTCAAAATCAATTTAAAGTGATTTTGAAACTTTCTTAAAATACTTTAAACTTTCTTAAACATGATCAATGGAAATGGAAGAGTTTTTAACAATGACACAAGTCTAGTGACTTTTTTTTTTTTTTGAAAAAGAAACAAAAAATAATTTCTATTTTTTTATCCTTTTAGAAAAATAAAGAACCGTCAAAATTTTATTGGCCATCGACAGAAAGTATTATATTATATGTCTTAATCAATTAAGTTATGTTCAAGTGGCGAAATTGACGTGTTATTTGAATTATTACTTCGTTGACATATTTGGACACATAATATGACATATGGAAGAAATTAATTTTGTTGATGAGTAAGTTGAGTTGCATGTGTCGAATAGCAACTAAATGAGTGTCTAAATATATTATTCAAATAATAATTTAATTATATATTAGTTTTTGTTAACAAAATTTTAACATTTTTTTTTAATGGAATGCATAATTGAGAATTTTGATACATGAGAGGTGAATTTAAACATTTTGAAATATTAAGGATTAAAGTAGAAAAGTACCGAAAATATTAAACAGCATTTAGTATATTGAGTCTATTATTTTATAATGTGAATTGTACGCGTTATTATTATTATAATGGTTTTAAAAATATAACTAGCTTTTATATTTTAAAATAATTTTAGTAGTTTGTTTAGTACAATAATTTTTTTATTATTGTTGTTGTGTTTTTTCAAGTACTTATTGTTGTTGTTAACCATGGTTTTATTTTCAAATAATTATACCATATTATTTATTTCTTGCTGTTGTTTTTTTTTCAATTATTCTACTATTTAACTTTAGACTACATTATTCCCGTATTATTGTGCGTAATTATGGCCAGTTATATAATTGAATATGTTGGATTATAACCTCGATCAAGTAAGTTTGTGTAAGTGGATAAAATACTAATTACTTTTATTTATATATATATATTGAAGATTTGATTATTCATCCCAATAGTTAAATTAAAAAAAAGAAATATTATGTTCAACTATAATTTGTTTTTAAAGAGGAGTATAAATATGATTGTTAATTTGAACTTARCTTAACTGGTCAAGACACTTATTTTTAACAAAAAAAAATCGTAAATATGAAATCTTGTCCCTACATATTGTACTAAAAAAACATTTATATTCAATTGATAATTTAAATACATTTAATCTACCATTTCTACCGATTGACTCCATTTAAAAAGAAAAAAAATTGATTGAGTTTCTAATCTTATTTTTATGAATATAATTCTTTCCTCTACATAACGCTGACCAATAATGTTAAACATGAGGAAAATTTAACATAGATAGAAAATAATATTGATGTTGTTAATAATCTTTAAATTTGATTAATGGAAGAGACTATTTAAATTATGAATAAATTCAATGACAGGAAAAATCCAAAATATTTAAAGTATAAGATAAAAATCGAGGCCAACTTAGTATAATAATATAATTGTTTTATTGACTATATTGGTACTCTTCATTTCCTTATTTCCTTTTTTGAGTTCAATAAAAGGTAAGGATTCGAGAATATGTGCTTTAAATAATTAAATTATATTGATTTTTTATTTTCATTTTTTCATTTTCTTCTAAAGGTGCAGGAGAATTCCGAGACTTATTTCTTTTAAATTTAAATTTCTTGAAAGTTGAATGGTTTTATTCGTTGAAAACAATAATTTATTGTTCAAATGGAAATACTTAATTTAAGATTTAAATGAATAAAAGCAGCTCATGTGCATCACATGTGTTTGTTACTTTTTAATAAAAGTAAGTAAAATAATTGCAATTATAAAAGAAAATTATAGGGCAGTAGGGCACCTTTGAAAATGATGCTGCTTTTATTTTTCATTTTTTTTTAATTTAAAGTCGTATTTTTTTAATATTAAATTGCAAAAAGGAGAGACAAGTCCAAGCTATGCTCAATTAACACTTTCATTGTTTTTATTAATTTTTTGCAAACAATTTTTGAAATCTTACTTAAAAGCAAAAACATATTTGGTAAATTAACTTTTTCTAGTTTTCAAAATTGAACTAAAATTATAAGCCCATCTTTACAAATGTATTACAAAACAATAAAAAAACTAAAAACTAAAAGAAAAGAAAAGAAAAAATATATATGGAGTATGATCTGTAACAATTAAAAGAATTTTATATTTGATGGTAAGAGAATGAATGGTACATACACACAAAAAAGGAACAACAAATTGAAACTTTTCTTTCAAATACACAACAAGAAGCATATGGGAAGATTATCAATGAAAGTGGTAAAAGGAAGGAAAAAAAAAAAACCAGTTAAGTCTGTTAAGTCAGGTGCCTACACTAATTGATTTCTATTGCATTTAATAGATACGTGGACTCCACTAAAATTTTTTAGCCAATAAAAATACGTCACATCAGAAAGTCAGTAGAATTTTATACTGACCGTGGATAGACAAGAATTTTCTAGGTTCGAATCCAATGCCCAACACCAACACGAGCATCTTTCTATAAGGCAAACATAGGGAAAATGTGCCTTCCTTCTTTTAGCATATGAATTGTGTAATGGTAAAAAGAACTTCAACACTGAACAGCCATGGTAAAGCCACCATTGTCAAAATCTCAAAAAATTAGAGAACACAACAACTCAACACACACCCTCCTCCCCCCCAAAGGAAGAATATTAACTCAGGACAACATATTTGGCTACTGGCTACATGAAGCAGAATATTGAAAGACTCTTCAGGGGAACACAAATCGAAAGCCGAAAATTATTGAATATATGCAGAAGGGCAAGATTTTACAGGTCATTGCTGATGATAACCTTCCAGGCATTCAAACTTCTTCGCAAAGAATTGCTCCAGGACTTGGCCAAAGCATCCATCTCATTCAATAACCTTTATTCCCCCGAATCCGAGCCCTCATGTCAACCTGCAATTTTGAGATGCATTGAGCTTTTTTTAAAAAAATAATTATCAATCAGATAACTTTTTTTAGAAAACCGGGATTCTGTTATCCCCTAATGGAGTTGAGAAAAGAAGAAAACTCCATCAAGTATCAATTACACCGAGACAAAAGTGCAGTTATTAGAGGCACAACTAATAGGATCATAGAAAGAATAGCAAAACTTAGCTAGCTCAAAAAGATTTATCCACTCTTAACCCTATTGTTTTTTTCCAACCAGAGACTCTACCTAGAGTTTCTTTGCTTTGCCCCTTGAGGCTTAAGCCATATCCACAAAGAAGATGAAACATATAACCTTCCAAAGAAAATTTTGAGATATCCAAGAAAAACTGAAAATCTGCAACCTACACTAAAGGAACAAAGGAAGAAAAGACGGTCCGTTCCTTTCACTTTCGAACTTTCTTCCAAACATAAAGAGCACCATGAGGGGTACAAAACCATTGAAGGAGATCAGGCCTTTCATCTTTCACCATTGCCAATTCAACGAAAACAAGCTGTGCAGGCAAAAACTTTTACTCATTGGATATTTTCCTTTCCACCCTTTGTTATAGAGCTCCTTTTCTAGAACTGTGTTGCATCATTAGATTAAAACACAATTGTTTGACCTAAGAAGTGCCCAGAAGGGTGTTAAGTCCACACTCTCTCATATGTTCCTGCTCCAATCCGCTAGTTTTCCAGAAAATTCAGCAGGTCATTAAGCTCACTAAATTCAATTTTTCCAAGTTTCTTCTAGTCAGCACATTCCAGCTTCCTGAATTCTCATCTTATAATTCGTTTACATCATCTCACAGCAAATGGATGTAGTCCCACCCAGAATCTTCCCATCTTCTAATTAGATAGCAGAATTATTTATGATGTATCCCCCTTCAACATTTTTATGTTCCACAGAGCTCATGCGCTTCCTCCCTTATGTCAAGAGTGAGTCACTCCCCCTTATTTTCCATAAATGCTTCTCATTACCTTGTGCCAAATCTGATTGGATTCATAAAAAATATCCATATCCATTTTGCTATTGGTGCTTAATTTATTTTTCTCCAATTCCCAATCCCCCTATGCCCCCATTTCTAATAGGTAAGCGACCACCTTCAAATTTACAAAGTGGCCAAGCTTCCCTTCGGAAGAGCCATCCTTAAGAAAGTTTTTCATCTTCTTTTCATAAATGCTGCCAGATTTTTCCATAGGCATGGGAGCAATAGACATCAAGTAGAATAGCAGATTTGCTACCACCACGTTGCAAGAGATTAACCTTCCATCTTCAAAGAGACATAAATTATGTCATTTACGTCTTACAAAACCTTAACCTTCTTGGGTTGTCACCAAAGGCTTACTCAAATAAGATAAAGGCAAATCACTTCCTTTGCACCCAAACTTGCCAACCACCTCCTCCTCAACCCAAGATCATGGTGTAATACTAACACATAGTCCATACTATTTGAACTTCAAGAAAAAACTTCATTTGCATTGGGCCATTGTTTACACTCACTCCCCCTCTAGGACTATTGGAAAACCAGAATTTCAAAGGCTGATTATTTGTGTTAACTGGCCTATAGTCAAGTAAACACTCCATTCAGAGAAACTATACATTTACTTGCCTTCCCCTTTCTGTAAGTCTTTCCATATCTCCAAAAAGTCCAGCATTTATTTCCAAGAAAAATTTTCAACATTTTCCTTAAGCATTTCTTTGGATGTCCCTTTGGGATAGTTCCACCCACAGGCGCTCTCTATTTCCTATTGAGAACTAAAAAAAGGAACAATACTAGAAAATAAAGAAGTGAAAAATCATCTGTTCACAGTCCCTTTCAGGAGATCAATTTTTACATCTTTATAATACCACATAAAAGTTCAAATTACAAGGTGACATGTTGTTGGATCACGAGATGTATATTTCTAGAACACTTTCACGCACTTCTCACGTGATTGAGATCTATTTTAACCGAGAAGTGACCGCAGGAGATTGAAATGAGAGTTGATGGAAACTTGCCTGGCCTCTTTTACAGTTGAAGTACGTTTCCCTTAATCCCACACATTCGCTAGGTATGCATGGACTCTTCTCTCCAGCACATTCCCTGTAAGTTCGGTTCTGAACCTGAAATTGCAACAACAAAAGACAGACCAACCATATTCAGTTCAAGCAACAACTCTACACATCCTTGTTTAAATTTGTAAAACTTCACGATAAAATGCTCTTATATATTTATGAAGACCGTATGTTCTGTTTCAAATGATTTCCAACAAATGAAAAAGCATTGCAGAAAAATAGATGCCAATTCTATAACAAAATTATCCAAGCACTAATAAACAAGATACATGTCTCCACATCCTCACACATAAAGTCACAAACATATACAGCGAGAACATGATAATACAAATAAGACCTTTACACAATCGGATTCGCTAAGACATTTGACCAGCTCCATTGCTAACCCTTTGCAAGACTTAGACATCCTTCCCCTTACTTTTATCCTCCACGGCGTTTTCAATTTCTGTTATTTCTTGAATCCTCGCTCGAACAGTCACAAATTATCTTTGCTCACAGTATTCAGCTTCTAGTGGACTTTCATCTCCACCCCCCAGTAGTCGTCTTGTCATTGAATATCCCCTAAGTTGATTTTATACTCTCAGGAATGAACTGGAAACCAAATAGTATGCTCAATTCATCAGCGTCAGTGAGGAACAACCCGAGAAACAGTGAAAACAAAACCTATTACGTGGAGCAAGGCAGCAAATTACACAACAGATAATAATTATAGATATAAATAACGCATTGTTCCATCAAGATAGCCAACATGAATGAGGTAAATCAACCAGTATCATTGAAAGAAACAATAGAACGATTAAGTCTTGTGATGTCGTAGAGACATGAGAGGCGGAAATGGGAGCTGGGTTTCAACTGGAAGTCATGATAGAGGTGAATAACGAATAGAAGATGAAGAAAAAATGAACCCAGAAGGATGAGAGAGAGAGAAAGCAATTTAGAACATAAGCGAGAAGTAAAACGCAGTGAAATGGAGACGAAGGATACAGAAGAAAATGAACACACAGCACAGAAAGAAGGAGATTCAGAAGCAGCAACGGGAAATAAGAGGAAGAAGTGAACGGAGCCATGGCAGAGTAGCTTACCTGGTGAGAGGAAATGGCGACGACCGATCGCTGTGAACGCCCGAGGAGGAAGGAGAAGGAGAAAGAATTCGACAATGGGCCATTGTGGGCTTAACTAAATGGGCTGAAGTTGGAGAAAAATATCCCAATATACATTATTTAGATTTAAAAACTGAAAAGTAAACAAAAGGTTTAAATACTTTTGTTGTGTATTTTGAACTTTTGTCCAAATACTTTTATTTTTTTAGCATTTTTTAGTACAACATATGAGGGTAGGGATCGAACTCAGTTAGAGGTATATGTCAATTACTGCTTGTTCTTTGGCTAATTTTTTAGCTCTTAACTGTGGTTGATTCTATGTAGTTTTTGAAAGAGATCAATTTAGTTATTATTGGCAAAATGGTTAACACAATAAAAATATTTAATACAGATTTGTGACTAATAGATTGAAATGAATGAGATAAAAATGAAAATGAATTGACCAAACTGATTTGGTTTTTTTAGTAAGTGTCTAAAATGAATGGTTCGAAAGTCCATGGATAAAATAAACAAATGTTGAAAGTACATGAACCAAAATAGATGTTTTTGAAAGTAAATGAATCAAATCTAAGAGTACACGAAGCAAAAGAGTATTTAGAGAAAAAAAAAAGCCAACATGAACGCTAAATAAATAAGATACTTGTTGCCTCTTAAAAAATTGAAGGTTGAATATCCACTCTTATTTGTTGAACTAAAAATGCAATTGAATATATTTAATTACTTAATAAAAACAAACTATTTTAAAGACTATATCGTGAAGTTCACAAACTTTTTATTTAGTACAACAACCATGGAAAGATGGTTCAATCAAAATACATGTGATTTAACTAGTTGAACTGACAACTAGTTAAATTACTTATTCTCGAACAACTAACAAATTATGAATTTAAATATTCACCTCAACTTATAGTTAGCAAATCCCAAAATATTATTACAGTAAATGATGGTAAATAAAATTGAGAGCTCTAATTCATAATCATCTTAATCTAGACAGAAACTAAGTTTCCGCTCTCAATCTATATACCATGCCAAAGTAAATTTGATAGATCCATTGGTTCGAGAAATAAAAAAGGGAGATTGAACCATTTATTCAAACTATTTTTTAAATTTGATAAATGTTAGTTGATGGTTTATTTAATTACAGGGTATGATTCAAAGTAAAAATTCATAATTTAACTATGCCGGAATTTTAAATTAGGAATTAAATCGTTATTTATAGAGAAAAACAAGGTGTTTTCTTAACCTAACGGGCCCACGCTTCGTACAAAGTGAAAGAAAGGGAGAAAGCCAACAGAAGCTTGGAAAACCGCCATTTTCTTTCCTCTGACCAATCTCCGCTGTTATTCCATGGCGGTCTTCGTTTCCAACAATGTACGGCCTCCACTCTACTCCACCAATCAACTTCCGTAAGATTTCAATTTCTCATCCTCTCGATCTCCTACAGTGCAATTACTTCAATTCCGAGCTCCTCTAATGGCCGACGACTCCATCCCCTTCTCCGATTACAAGCTCTGCGGCTTCTTGTGCGTGGTTCTCGCTGTTCCTTCACCGCAGCCCGACCTGTCGAACATTCTGCGCCCTGGAACGCGCTGCTATGTCTCCGCTGAGGGTTCTGAGGTTTGTTTCACTTCGGGAAACGGCGTCGTGCTTTCTCCTATTGAAGAAAACTCCAAACCGCTCTCGAAGGCCGGCGTTTCGCATCAAGATTCCGAGCAATGCAGGGGTCCGGTAGGGGAAGGGGAGACCGGGTCCACGGAGGTTGTTGATTTGACTCCGAAGGCCGAGGTTTCTGCCAGGGGAAGTAGGAGCTCGAGGAAGAGGATGAATAGGATGGGGCTGGTGCATGGCAGCATGAGCGTTGTGCATCAAATTCACGCTCTGGTAGTGCACAAGTGCTTGAAGATCGATGCGCGGGTGGTTTTTGTTGACGTTGGTGTTGACGGGGAGGCCAGAGCCGTGTTGTTGGTTGATGTTCATCTCCCCGTTGAATTATGGTCCGGTTGGCAGTTTCCCAGATCAAAGATGGTAGCTGGTGCGCTATTTAGGCACTTGAGGTGATAGACTGTTTTAATTTGGGTCTCGTTACCAAAACTTTTTTTTGCCTTATTCGATTTTTTGGGTTGGGTTGGCTGGAGGGGGGTGGGTTTTCGGGTTAGTACTTTTCAGTGAATTTCATCAACACGATTTATTAGTAACGGTTAGCTAGGACTTCGAGTGGCTACTGGTTTTGTTTCTTTTTTCGAATAATCAGGTTAACGCTTAATAAATCTATAATTCTCCTATCAAAGAACTAGAATACGTTTTTCTTTTTTCGAGTTCAACTATTGCAGGGGTGGAGGATCAAACCATCCATGTTTAGGATGATAATATAATAGGTGTTTTATCTACATAGCTCAGATTAGCAAGAACTAGAATATGTTAAAACTACATTGGACTAACAGCATAGTGAAATATATCTATCGGAACACAAAATATATGCTAGTTTTGATCTATCAATAAAGAATCTCTATACATTATGTAGCTGCTTGAAAATGTATTGAGAGTTCATATCAGTCGTAACTTCCTTCATAAAGCGATTTAATCTCTTGCATAAAATGTAGAGCACATATAGGTGAAAAAAATGTAAAGTTTTTATTTAAACCCTCTAATCCTGTTTTTTTGCATCGTTATTGGTAATCTCCAGCTTTCATCTCCACCAACTCCAGCTTCCTAATTCTTATTTGCTCAAAAAGAATAATTTTCTTCTTCCAATTTGTCTACATATTAATGTTTTTCATCAATGGCTAGATCGGGTTTAAATTGTGATCTGTAACTTGTATAGTCGTTCTTATTTGTTTATTTTTCCCTCTGTTAAGTAGGATCCTACTGCTCCTACTTCTTATGGATTTTTTTGTTTTACATGAAATGTTGCAAGTTTATTATGGTCTACAATTTCAATTGTGAATGGAAAGAGAGGAGCTCTATACTTCTTTAGTAGTCTTTTTTAGTGAACTTTCATCTTATATGAAATGTGGTAAGTTTATCACGTTATGTATTCTCAGTTGTGAATGGCAAGAGAGAAGCTCTATACTTGGTGGAAAAGACTATTCTAGAGACGCACCTATGGTTAGGAAAAGCATGTGGAATCTTGCAGAATGCCATGTCCATGCTTGTAAATTGCACGATAGTTCTGGAGGTTCTCCCAACAGAAGGCTCTTTGAACTTCACGAAATATTTAGAAGCTTACCTAGTGTTGTTAAGTCCAGCAAACCTGATTATACAAGAATGCAACCAGAGGATGATTCTTCTCAATTGGGCATTTGGGACATATCGGATGACACTCTAATTAATATATTGAAAGCTCTTCGCCCTTTGGATCTTATTAGGGTTGCTTCAACTTGCCGACATCTGAAATCCTTGGCGGTATCAATCATGCCATGCATGAAACTCAAACTGTATCCTCATCAACAGGCAGCTGTTGAATGGATGTTACACCGTGAGCGGAATGCTGAAGTATTCTATCATCCTTTATACGTGGCTTTTACAACAGAAGATGGTTTTTCTTTCCACATAAATACCGTTACTGGTGAAATAGTCTCTGGGGGGGCACCAGCTATCACTGATTTTCGTGGGGGGCTTTTTTGTGATGAACCTGGCTTAGGCAAGACAATAACTGCACTTTCCCTTATCTTAAAGACTCAGGGAACATTAGCAGAGCCACCAGCTGGAGTACAGATTATTTGGTGTGCACATAATGGAAATCGTAAATGTGGTTACTATGAGCTTAGTGGTAATAATAATACTAGCAGCAACCATTTTTTGGTGAATGGAGCTGTGGGTTGTAGTTCTCTTAAAGCATTAGAGGACTTAAAATATCACACACCTAAAAGGGCAAGGCTGACAGCTCTTGACGACAGACATACAGTAATTAATGATTCATGTGCTGGCAATGAGATGAGGTCTCCATCATCTGCAGACTATGAAAAAGCAGTTGATATGGTTCGTTGCACTAGGAGCTTGAGTAGTGTCAAGAAAAATCTTCTTTTCACATATGAAGGGGCACCTAGCCTTTCTAAAGAATTGAATGCTGGTAGAAAGTCAACTAGAACATGGACAAGGAAGGTTGCTGCTGGGGCAAAGAGAGCTGGCGTGTCAAATGGATTCACAGACAACTATGAGGTGCCTGGGATGGCCACTGCAGATAAATTTGAATATAAGGACACATGGGTTCAGTGTGATGCTTGTCACAAGTGGCGGAAGCTTGCAGAAACTTGTGTTGCTGATGCTAGTGCAGCGTGGTTTTGTAGTATGAACATTGATCCTTTTTACCAAAGTTGCAGTGTTCCAGAAGAATCTTATGACAAGTGCCGTCCAATTACTAATATTCCAGGATTCTACAGCAAGGGAACTTCTGGAGGAGAGGAGAAAAATATTTCGTTCTTCACCAGTGTGCTCAAGGAAAACAGTGCACTGATAAATTCTGGAACGAAGAGAGCCTTGGCTTGGCTGTCTAGCCTTACTCCTGAAAAAGTTTCAGAAATGGAAAGAACTGGTTTAAGATGTCCTATATTAACATCTTATGTAGTTTCTGGTGGTGATGCCCGTGGTTTTCATAAAATGTTTGAAGCATTTGGTTTAGTAAGAAAAATGGAAAAGGGCATTATCAGATGGTACTACCCGCATAATCTTCACAACTTGGCATTTGATGTTGCTGCTTTGAGAACTGCATTGTGTGAGCCACTAGTAAATTCAGTCAGGTTATATTTATCAAGGGCAACTCTGATTGTTGTCCCATCAAATCTAGTTGATCACTGGAAGACTCAAATTCAAAAACATGTTAGACCTGGTCAGTTACTGGTTTATGTATGGACTGATCATAAAAAACCTTCTGCACATTGTCTAGCATGGGATTATGATGTTATCATCACCACATTTAGTCGGTTAAGTGCAGAATGGGGGCCGCGGAAGAGAAGTATATTAATGCAAGTGCATTGGCTTAGGGTCATTTTAGATGAAGGGCACACCCTTGGCTCTAGTCTTAACTTGACAAACAAGTTGCAAATGGCCATTTCATTGGTATCTTCAAATCGCTGGATACTAACAGGAACTCCAACTCCTAACACACCTAATAGTCAACTTTCACATCTTCAACCATTACTTAGGTTTCTTCATGAAGAAGCCTATGGTCAGAATCATAAGTCATGGGAGGCTGGTATTCTCAGACCTTTTGAGGCAGAGATGGAGGAAGGAAGGTTGCTTTTGTTGAACTTACTTCGTAGGTGTATGGTTAGTGCAAGAAAGACAGATTTGCTATCTATCCCACCTTGCATCAAGAAAGTAAAATACCTAAATTTTACAGAAGAACATGCTCGAAGTTACAATGAACTTGTAGTTACAGTGCGGCGTAATATATTGATGGCTGACTGGAATGATCCTTCCCATGTTGAAAGTTTACTGAATCCGAAGCAATGGAAATTTCGAAGTACAACAATAAAAAACATCAGACTATCTTGCTGTGTGGCAGGACATATTAAAGTTACAGAAGCTGGTGAAGATATTCAGGAAACCATGGATATTCTTGTTGATGATGGCCTGGATCCTATGTCACAGGAATATTCTTTTATAAAATACAATCTCCTTTATGGTGGGAACTGTGCTAGGTATTATTTTACTTTGATTTATACGACTCTTTCACAATGTTATATTTTACTAATCAAATAATGCGTTAACATATATAGGTGTGGGGAATGGTGTCGTTTACCTGTGATTGCACCATGTAGGCATCTTCTATGCCTTGGTTGTGTTGCTTTGGATAGTGAAGGGTGCACTTTTCCTGGCTGTGGTAAATTATATGTGATGCAGACTCCTGAGACCTTAGCTCGGCCTGAAAATCCCAATCCAAAGTGGCCTGTTCCCAAAGACCTCATTGAGTTGCAACCATCATATAAGCAAGTAGGCTGACTATGAGAGATAGTTACTTGTAAATATTTGGTTCCTAACTTTATGAAAATAGGGTCAACTGATAATAGTGTGTGATATTTACAGGATGACTGGGATCCTGATTGGCAATCGACATCTAGCAGTAAAGTTGCATATCTTATTCAGAGATTAAAAGCTTTAAGTGAAGTAAATGATGAGGCTACTGTGGTTCCTCCCCCTTCATTGAACAAATCTGGTGGACTACTACAGGAAGTTGACCATTCAAGGACTACCACTTCAGATCATGAAATAGTCAGAGAGAAAGTTCTTATTTTCTCTCAATTTCTTGAGCATATACATGTCATCGAACAACAGGTAACTATCATTTTTTTTAATTCCAGGAATTTTCTACAAATTATACGTCCTTAGCACCATTTCTCCTTGGCCAGTTAACCATTGCTGGCATCAGATTTGCTGGGATGTATAGTCCAATGCATGCTTGTAATAAGGTATGTCATTTAATTCTATCGTTTTTCATAATTTGTATTGATATCTAGGTGTGATGCTGGTGTGCATTGATTGTGTTTCACCCGTGCAGATGAAGTCATTGACCATGTTTCAGCATGATTCAAGCTGCATGGTGCTTTTGATGGATGGAAGTGCTGCATTGGGTCTTGATTTGAGCTTTGTAACTCATGTATTTCTAATGGAGCCAATCTGGGACAGAAGGTAACACAAAAACATTTTAGATTCAAGTCGTTTGATGGATGATATGTCCTTAAACCTTCCTTCAGGACTATACAATAAAAAACAACTAGTTCTGCACTATCTCGGATACTCTTTAAGCAGCTTTGAATTCTGGTTGAGAGAGAAGCCTGGCCATCCTTCCATCTAAAGGGAGTTCTATTCTCCAAGTCTACAACCCACATATAGGAAAGCCTAGAGTCTCAAACTTAAGAGAAAAGGCACCTGTTTCAAGCAATAGACAGAAATGAATGGATGTGTCACGTGTGTCTCTCCTTGTACTTTGACAGTGGATGAATCTCTTTTGATAAATGAAAAAGTGGTCAACAAGAGAATAGTTGGTTGAGTCCATGCATTGGACTGTGAAACAACCATTAGAACTGGAATTTCATTAAAAGACAAGTCTTAAATTAGTTGGTTGAATTTCTTCATGCTCTTAGTTCTGCTGCCCCCTGAGGATTTGCAGCAACCCATTTTGACAGTCAGTTTGTACCTCGAAGAATCAGATTAATTAGGCATGTGGCTCTTGCCTTACTGTACCGATATAATATGAATCACCATTCACCGTTTTTTCTTCCATAGGAAAGCTGTTAACTACGTAAGTTGTAACATCTTTTCTCTGAATCCAGACCTTCCTGAAAGAAATCTTTCCTAGCAATCTGGATTTGCTTTGCAGAATGAAAAGAAGTTTAAAGACAGGCATATAATAGTTAGGATGTTGTCCTCGATAGGTATGATGTTGCATGAGATTGTTCCTTTATTGGCCAATTATGTCTTAAACATAAGAGTCAATCTTCCCCTAGTTAATTTTGTGAATTTTGGTTTATACACTCTTTCCTTCCTCTTTTCAATTGGTCCTGTATTAAGTTAGTTTTTTGTTTCAAGCCAATTAGACTAATTTCATAGAGCTAGGGGCGTTCAGGCAATGGAATTGCGAGTGAAGGATTTAAAAACTTTATATTTCAACGGTAAATCTACTATTCAACTCTCCTAATTTACTATTCAATTCCCACAATTTCCTATTCAACTCCTCACTTTATTTTATTTTATCTATTTATCTTTCTTCAAGTGTGTCCCCACATCAAGTGGGCACATCATTTCAAATTTGGTAGGTCCTACAAAATTTTTTCTTTTTAATTTTGGTGTGTTCTACCATTTCTCTCTCATATATATATTTTTTTACTATCCTTGCTCTCATATCTTTTTTTTTTTTTTTTTCAGATTTCCAATTATTCAACTTTTTTTTATACAATTTAATTGTTTTGGTTTTACCTACATCCATACTCACAATTATAAATATTGAAGTTTTCTAAATTGTAATGCAAATGTATTCTTTTTAATTCATAGATATATATAATTTTCAATTTTTAATAGATTGTATGAATTATAATTCAATTTTATATTGATGTAGGTTTTTTTTTAAAAAAAATATGTATATGTAGTTATGTCTTGTTATAAAAAAAATAGAATGCCAAGCTTAAATAATTAAATTTAAACCATTTATAATATCAAATTAATTAAGTAATTAGCTTACTTTTTTAGTGACAATTATTATTATTATTTTAATTATTGTCTCTCTTATACATGTTTAAATAAGTATAGTTTGTAAAAATATGTAATTTTAAATGAGTGACCTTTAAATAAAAATAATAGTTTATTTTGAATTTATACAAATAAAGATACTTAATTTCAAGCGAACAAATATTAAAACAAAATAATATACTTATTTTTTAATTAGTCATATTTAGTAACAAAATAAATTGTATTGTATTTTGAACTTACTAAAATAAAATCTATATTAAAAATTGTTTAATTTTTAAACTAAACACAATCAAAATGACAAATATAGATGTATGATATTCATTTTGAATTTAGTTAATTGAAATAATCTAAATATGTATTGTTTTTTTTTAATACAGGGAGTTTAGGAGAGTTAGAGAATGTATTTTATTTTCAAGGTAATCAAATTAAAATAACAAAATGTATTAAAAAAATTAAGTAATTTTATCATTACTTAAATAAAATTCTAAGATTATGCAATAGAAATAAAGGAAATAAACAATATATCATTGTAATTATAACACATTTAAGTTTAAAAAAATTATAAAATAATATAACTTAACATTTAAATTTTAGAAATGACAAAAAATTTTAATGGAAAAATTATTAGATTCTAACTCTAAGGGTAACTTAAAAAAAGAAAAAAACTACACAATTCCAGACTTAATAACTCTGCAGGTTGAACGTAGCACAAACTTCACAACTCCAAGCTAAGAAACTCTGCAGCTTGAGCACATAATTTTTTTTTATAAGAAACAAACTGAAAAAAAAAATATGTGCTCAAGCTGCAGAGTTTCTTAGCTTGAGCACATATTAATTAACTCCCCAGATTTAACAACTCCACCCTGCGGTTTGAAGTTGAACGCACCCTAGAGTGAATTTATGTCTTATTTCCCACTCTTCTTTTCATACCCTTTTGACTTTAATTAAATTCTTGTTTCCTATCAAAAGGAAAAAGAAATAATTTAGTATATGTCATATATGTATAAAGCCAAAAGCTAAAACACATTGAGTGTGCTAAAAATCTGTCAGTTGTACAAGAGCGGAATTTTGTCAACTCTTTGGCATGAGCAGCTGTAACAAAGCATGCACATGAAACCTTCAGATTAGTGCTTTTGCAGTCTTTAAAAATAGTATAATTGATTCTAGCTTTCATATTATACAAGAGAATGCAAATTGAATTTGAACGAGTAAGATGTACGCTCCAGGTTTCTGAAGAGTGAGGAGAGCTTACACCTGCTATTCTGTTGTTAAAAAACATCTCTAGATACTTGAGGCGCAGGCTAACTCATGATTGATTTTCATCTTTCCTTTCACACTATCTTGGCTTCCTTCCCATACCTTTCTAGTTCATCATGCATTTTGAACTTTTAATCCGAGTAATAGATCAATATTTCTATGCATTTGGTTCTGACTTCTCAGAAGATAAAGCATTAACAAATAATAACCAATCCATTTCGGCCGTCCTGTACTTTTTTCTTTTCTAACTGCTCAGCACATGATTGTTTTCATTTATAGTAACTCGTTCAATCATTTTATGATTTTTTAGCATGGAGGAACAAGTTATTAGTCGTGCTCATCGGATGGGTGCTATTCGTCCTATTCATGTCGAAACCTTAGTAATGCGTGAAACAATTGAAGAGCAAATGGTACAGTTTCTACAGGTATGCATATGCTCTTGAAATACTAGTATCGGTAGTGATCTTGGCATGGATATTAACAGTCTTGTTGTTGTGTGCTGTAGTTTTTGTAATTTTGCTTTCTGTTATTGTGAGCTTGGGCCGTTCTTTCTTGTAGCCCCTCTTTTGTACTTCCATTTATCTCAATAAAAGCTGGTTTCTAAAAAAAAGTAACGAACCTGCTGACTTGTGTAATTATATTACAGTAATTTCTTCCAAAGAATTTAAATTTACTAAACTCATCTTTAGAACTTAAAGACATGGATGTACCATGAGAACAGATCATGTTCAAGTAAGGTCGTTCATTGAAGACATTTCGATTTATAAAGTTTAGCGAATCAAGATCCGAGGACCGTGGTTCCTTATCCTTGGCAAAACGTGCCTTTCATATCTGTTTTTTTTTAATTTTTATTTATATCTTTTATCTCCGTCTCTCCCTCTTGCAAGAAACCTTTTGTTAAAGTGGGAAATATTTACAAGAGAAAGACTAAAGATAAGATGTCTTCAAAGCCTCTCTAATTTGATGAGTCATAAAAAGCTCTATCCAGAGAATATCTAGAAGTGAACATTTTAAATTCAATAAATTCTTGAAAACCTTTTATAAAGTCTCCTTTTTCCATTCTATTTTTTTTTTTGCCTTTTTTTTTTGAACAAGAAACACTCTTTCCATTCTACTTATAAGTTCTAAAATAAATCACAATGAGTATTTATATGAAAAAGATCCTTTGAGTTTTTTTCATAGGAAGGTTGGTGCTAAAATGCATCTGGATGAAGATGATAGAACCCGAACAACTTGAAATATATTGAAATATAAAAGATAGAAGAACTACCATAACTCTTAAGTAATTCGAGACACTCGGATCCTTCCCTCTCAGAGTACTCTTACTCAAGCCTAAAGCATACTAACACACTAACAGTTGCCTGCCCTCTACCCTTTTCCCCTCACTCTATTTATAACAACTCTCCCTAGCAACTTTCCTATCTAATTACTAACATACCCTTACTATTCTATTAATAATCCTAATTACCCCCAAAGGCCATTCCTATTAGAAGAAAGCCCAAAAATTGTATGCGTCACCCTAATAACCCCAATAATTTTCTTCCACATATCATGGAGTGGTCCGGGAAAAAAAAGGACGCTCCTGGTTTTCACAATTTTGGCATGAACAGCACTAGTTCTGAAGGAGCCTGATTTGGGAATTTTATATCGAATATGTTCAAGGTATTAACCTTGCCAGTGGGGTTCAATGGAAAAAAATTCACTTTTTAAGGATTTTAATCTTCCATATCTCCAAAAGGAAAAAGAAGTGTCTCCATGTGAAAAAAAGACGTCCACGGACATGTAAGACAAAGTGCCAGGAATAGGATATGTCTGGAACCCTCTATCTGAATTCAGATGAGGGCTGGGAGCAAAATTATCCTCATCCCGTCAATTCATACTCGTTTATACTAAGCTCTGTAGCTAATAATAGAAAGCCTGGGAAATTTGTAGAGAATCTTCCTGAAGACACTCATCCTCCGAATATCTCACTTTATCACCTAGCTCCACCTTGAATCTGTATGTTTTACCAAACATATTATTAGCTGCTCTTGATTATCCTTCCAAGCAACCCCCATATCTCTCTCTCATATTTTCTCACAATCTCCGTGTCATAAAGCATCCTCAGTTCACCTTTCTGTAATATCTGTCAATCAAGTTCATCTCTTGGTGGTGCTAAGTCTTCATGAGTGGGTCCTCATAGTCATATCATTAAGATGCTGATGTAGGCTGTGGTTGTCAAGAAGCTTGAAGTTCAAACATTTTCCTATATCGTAGTTAAAGTGACTTTCTTTTAAGTTAGGTGCTCCTCTTGTTCATTTTTCAAATTGTAGTGCACTGGTTTTTATCGGTGACATTCTGTGATTGCAATAGTCCAGCCCTCCAGTATATATAACATGCCAATTCCATTATCTAATCTTCTCTAATTCTCGGTACATTAGTAGGCTAAACTCTCTCTTTGCACATTCTATAATTGATGTTTTATTTTCTTTTTCTTAAAATGGTTAATTTTTTTGAAACATTTTACGATAAATGATTAAATTTACTCTAATCCATTGTCTTAAGCTCTTGGGTTGACTGGTGATTTATTATGATATCATAGCAAGGTCCTACATTCAAGCTCATGTATCGTTATTTCCTTTTTCAAGCCTACAAGTAAGGGGGAGTGTTAGATATCCATAAATGATTAAATTTACCCTAAGGTCCCTAACCGGTCTTTTGGGTTAATCGGTGATATAACACGAGTTTTTATGGTTCTTCTAGTGCTTTAAGCTTCGTAATTTACTTTTTTCTCTCTCTGTTTTTCCCCTTGTTAATGAAGGATACTGATGAGTGCAAAAGATTGCTGAAGGAAGAATTTATCAAGCCGGATTATGAAGGGCCACGAGCTCATCGTTCATTGCATGATTTTGCTGGGAGCAATTATCTTTCTCAGCTCAAGTTTGTGAGGACGAATGCTAAGGTGGAAAAGGTTGTGGAGAATTAGTGCAGTTCTCTCTTCTCTGTCATATCCCATTGTTGTTACTATAGACATTATGACAACATTGGTATTAGAACTTGGAAGGAAAGATGGAAGCAAATGAACTGCAGTAACTCAAGTGGTATCGATAAACTCAAGAAATAGAAGTAGCAATAGCAGTAGGTGTATGGTCATTTTGTTTTCAGTTCCAAGTTATTGCTGAAGGCTGAAGAATTCAAACAGCATCCCGTTATTACTTAGGTTTAGAAAAACTTGGATCTGCAAAATGTGTATAATTCAGTGGATTAGTTTCGTTGGGCATTCATTCTGGCTAGAAAGATTGATTGCGCTCCTATTGGAATCGAACTCGTGGGTTCTCCTAATAGCACAGGAAAACAGCAAGGCTCTTTTGGTCGTTATAGTGGCCAGGTCCCATGAACTCTACATCAGCTGTAGGATCAGAGCTGCAGGGCACAGTGGCGCCCTTGCGCGGCGCCAGTCCTGGTACTCTACAGCAGACGGTAGGTCAGGCTTGCATTCAGATTAGACTCCTGCTGCGCACGATTTTTTTGAGGGGAAACATATCCCAATTGTGTTCTTGTTATGTTCTGCTCTTATGAATTGGTTTTTATGCCAATGAAATATTGATGCAGGTTGTAATACTGCTGTTGTAAGAATTAAAGGTGTCATGTATGAAATTAGGGCATCAAAGAAAGGTTGATTGAAGGTTTTCCAATTTTTATTCCCTTTATTTTTATTTATTTATTTATTTTTTTTTGCCAAGGAAAAAGGGGAATTCCAATTTTTATTCCACAAGAAAGCTTTAAGATCTCTGTACTTTTACTTTATATCCTTGAGAAGAAAACATGGATTATCTTTACATAAAGGAAAAGGATAGAAATGGATAACCTAAGTGCTTTTCTACTTCCTTATTAACAATAGAAAAAGTGAAAGGCAACTTTTACTCTTACCTCAAGTTCTCAAGTTTTAAATGTTGTGTTGAATAAAATGTCGATGTCTCAATTTTATGAAAATATTGATGGAAATATCGTAGGGCGAGTTACGCTTTTTTTTAAAAAAAAAAGTTTGGAACCCTTCTCCCAATTCTGCATTTCATTCCTTATTCGGCCGACCTCAAACAAAATGAAAAAAATGGAGAGGCCAGAAGTCAAAAG